ATAATAACTTTTTCAATAAATGTTCATTTTTCTTTTGCGTCTTTATTTATATGCCGGGTTTTCATTTATTTTAAATTCGAAATTGTCCGAAATACTCCAACAGGTGTATAAGTACAATAATAATAGGACTTACCAGGGAAGTTTAATACACACGATGTGTAAAGGGCGTCGTAACTCCCGTTTATTAGTTATAAATTTTTTTACATTCTGCTTAAAAAACAACGCATGTAACTCTCGCGACCAACTCTTTTTGTTTTGTATGGCATCATCTTGGCGACGAATTTATTGCCGACTGAATTTTAATTGTGTTTTAGGATGAGTTATTTTCTGTTTGTTGGTTTCTAAACTTCACAAACTTGGGTAGCAATTACTATTAATGTGAAATTTGTGCATATAAACGATTGAATATCGCGACTGGATGTCCGATATCTGATAATGCGTAATTCTCTTTCAACATTAATTTTCAGGATATCAGCGGTCATGTGGTCGAATAAAAATTATTTATCAAATGGATTGGTATTTCGAGACACTCTCAAAATTATTTGGGACCACTATCATTTCATTCGTTTATTTTTTATATTCATGTTTTTCTCAAGAATCACCCTCGTTATATTTAGTGTACCTTCGCAAAAGAAAACTCTTTGGTGTCATCGTTCCTATTAGTGTAATTGAAATATATGGAAACCTCGCAAGTGGCGTTGTGATGCGAATATTTGATACTAGGTCAGCAGCATTACAAAGAGTGCTATTTATGAAAGCTGAAAGTACATGGCATTACTAAACATTTTGCCAATATATGATGTTTTCTGCCCGATTTAAACTAACTCTCACGCAAACCAAGGCATGTCGACATTTAAAAATTACTTGTCTTTGGGTGAGCTCTGAAATAGTATAATATAAATGTAAATGAGAAATTAGGTCACGCTAGCTCACGAAACAGGAGGATTTTCAAAGTGATCTTGTGTAATATTTCGGAGAAAAAAGTTTGAAAGGAAAGTAGGTCAACCTATCTCCTAAAACAGGGGAGTATCTTGCGATAATATTTCGGAGGGAACGTAGGTTAACCTATCTTTTAAAACAGTGGGTGGCGACTTTCAAAGTGGTTCAAAATCAAAAATTAATAATTATTAGATTAGGTTTAGGGGTAAATCGAAAAGTTGAATTTCCAGCGCACCTAACCCTAATTAGTTAATTGCTATTTATATTTGGAGGGGGGGGGGGGATTATTTTGCACGGGATTTGTACAAACGATCTACCCTGTAACTAATATGGTTTCCAGCCTGCCTCGTGTCTGTTAGATGGAAGGAGTAACAAATGTGAAGTCTTTGCTGTTTACGCGAGTAAGCAACTGACACCGTGATACATTGCATGAAAATGTTTTGTCGGGGCAGGTGTTAGCAGATGTTATTTCGTTGCCGATGAATTCGCTTGTTTTAATTAAACATGAATTCGCTTGAAGGGAACTCGGAAAAGGCTTCTCTTTAATTCATAATATTAACCGGAGGAGCGCTTTTTCGAGTATCTATGCCGTTTTAAATGGGTCATATGAAAGGCTAGGGCACCTAACTTGTTAAAATCGGCAAAAGCACTTTCGCACTTTTTTTCCCGACTGCGAAGCACTTTCGCACTCATAATTTGCTTAGAGTTAACACTGGTACGCACTAATGTTTTCTAGAGGTTATTATATGTTGAGTGGATTATTTATGCTGTCATAAAAGAATGCTAGCTTTCCTGTCACATCACAATGTTGAATTATTAATGTTGTCCTTTTGTTTGTGTCAATATATAGAAATTGAATTGAAAATATTATCTTTTTGTGTTTTATACCTATGCGAGCTACGTTATATGTAGCGAAATTTAAAGAGCTAGGTATGTTGTTAGATATTTGATTTATGTTTTTTGGCATATTTGAGCCATAGTTAAGGCTAGGCCATAATTTTATTCCGATTTTCTTTATTTTAGTTCTATTACGAGTTTGGCGACTGTCTGTGTTAGCCAAGTGAATATACCCCCTGCCCATAGGTTTCAGTCCTTTTATACAACTTGATGTAAAGTAGGCGAACAAAATTAGTTACCCCCATATCTGTACATACATTTCTGTAGCGCCTAAATTTGTGTACTTTAGATAGTGTCACTTGACAGGAGATAACATTGTTTACTTTATACTTCTACAAATGTTTTCTCATGCAATTGCTGTTCACTGCAAAGGATAATCATCTACTACATACAGTATTTTTGTAAAGAACAGAAAATGGGCAGTACTTAGACCAGGGTGGTCCAAACCCAGGCCCACGGGCCACACGTGGCCAGCCGCTTCATTATATGTGGCCCGCGTCAGATTCGGAGTTTAATTAAAAAATCGCATTTGATGTGATTTTGTCATAAAATAACCAGAAAAATCTTTTGACATACTGTTACATCACTAACGTCACTGAATTGACCGGTGTTATGGCATTTTTTCCGCTATGAAAAGTTTGAAATCTTACACTTTATTTAGATATAGGAAGACTTTTGCAGGTTTTAGTAAGTTTTTTGGTGATTATTGCATGTTTTAGATTGATAAATGACAAATACCGATAAATGTGTTTGCACAATAGAAGTTTTTTTTTTGTATTGTACTGTTTACCTATTCTTGGCACTATTGTGGCCCGCAAACAATTCAAAAATAATTTTGCGTCCCCCAAAGCCGTCAACCTTGGACCACCCTGACTTAGACCTTAGGACTCGGCATTTGACCTACTAAATATGTGCATTTAGTATTATGATTTTGCGACCTGAAGTTGTTGAGTCTGATTTGGGGGAAGTGCTTTAGTGAAGAGTCCTTGATTGTCCAAATAGTTCAAGTATGGCTAATGAGACAATTTTGAATACTTCAGTGTTTTTAAAGAGAAAACTGGGATAAAAGAGGACAAAACGATTTACCTTAGAAAGTAGAATTTCAACAAGGGTGAGATTTCTCGGAAAGGGTGGCAAGTCCAAAAAGACAATTCTAAATACTTTCAGTTTCTTTAAAAAGAAAACTGGAAATAGAGAGAACCAAAAGATTCAGTTTAGATAGTGATATTTAAAACAAGTGTTCTCAGAAAGGATGGCTAACTATGAAAAAATTCACTATTTCATTGATTCTCAAACTTATTCGTGCAGCGCCAAATTATCAAGGGAAAATTATCTGAAATAGAATCCCATTGAAAGTGTATCAATCGTAGTATCAAAGTGCATCAAAATTTTGAATTGACATGAAAAGTCTGAAACTTTGATTCCAGGCTCCAGAGAATTCAAAATTTTAACCATGACTCTTATAAAAACATCTCAAACTTGAACTTTACAGCCTTGACTACTATTACTTTAAACGGCACTTTTATCAGTTTCCCACATTTAACCTTGCTTATTTAATCCTAGCAGTTCCATGAAAATAATTAAGTGATAATAATTTTCATCCAATAATATGAATGTGGTTTGTTTTTACAAGATTTTATCAAATAATAACTGAGTAAGGTAACAGTTGAAATTATTGTGCTATTTATTTATCAAGAAAGGTAGGTGTCAGTGCTTCCAACTTTTATGGGATTCTATTAGAGCTGTGGTTCAAACGGTGGGGCATAGAGAATTTTTGGTGCTCCCGAAGTATGCGAACCAAGATGGCGGACATCGGAACGTAACATGGGTAACAGGTTAAGGTTAGGCGATAATTTTTTTCCAATTTTCCTTATTTTAGTCCTATTATCAGTTCGAAGACTAGCCAAGAGCCTCCCGTAGTATTTATACCTAAAATTATGGCCTAACCCTAACCTAGCTAAATTTATACATTATTTCAATTATGGGAATACTTGATGATCATATTTGAATGATCATATAAAAAAAAAACTATCATTTGATCCAAATGAAGTCTCGTGGTGACTTCAACTTTTCTTGCATTTTGAAACTCAAATCATTTACATTGCCTTTTATCTTTATGTGTTCTTTAAACTGTGAATATATTTCAAATTCATTTTCACAATAGAGCTCATTCAATTTTTCTTGCAAATTAGTAAAAAAGATTTAGATGCGAAATGTTGCAGACTTGGCCGTTTGACCGATTATATTATAACTTTTTTTTTATTACAAGTATATTAGTATTTCAAATAACACCCTAATTCACATTAATTTTTTGGGGAAAAAATGCATTCATTTGAATATCCATAATAAATAATTTAATATCTTAGTAAAAGCAAATTTTCGGAAAATAGATTTAAATAGATTTTTTAAATATTTTCTGAATATATATTATTTCTGCTTTTTCAATTTTCAAATGATTAGTGTTTTTTAACACTCAAATTCAGTTTAATTTTTTCCGGGAAAAATACGCATTTTGTTTGTCACGTTTGTCTGGTTAGCATTCACTGATCATCATTAAGTTAGCAAAAACATGAAATGTGACAGAGAATATTGATTGATACAAATAATGATGCATTTATGCTTGGTGACGTTGGTTAACATAGTAGGACACTGTATGATGAATAAAATTGTCTTATTCAATCAAAACTGCAGTTTGCGTTTGTAAATGTTCTTGATTTAAGGTATAAGCTGTTCTACAGCAAAGTATAAACTCTAAATGTAGATGAACTAAGCTTATTGAAATGTCAGATAAAACAGGACACTCTAAATAGCTGAAAAAAATATTAATTAGTTAGGGTGTTGTCTTATTTATCGAAGTCACTATGACAGATTATTGATTGGTATAGATAATGATGCTGTTTAGATTGGTGACTTGAAGAAAGTGTAACAAGATTTAGATTACTGATATATGTGATATCAAAATGTTGAGGTTGAAGATAGTTGAGGTATCAAAAAAATCATAAAAAAAATAGTATTTTTGCAGCAAAGTCATATTATAGACATGTTTTTTTTTATCTGTATTCAGAAAGTTTTAAAATGTCAGATAAAACATGACAAGGTCGATTACAGTGAATAGCTGTATTAATTAGGTTATGAGAGAATGTTGATTTTGATTGATACAAATAATGGCTGCATTTAGGTTTGTGACTTCACCGAATGATGAATAAAATTGTCGTATTCATTCATTGTCTTATGAATTGTCTTATGCCTGGTGATTAGCATAGTAGAACTTCACTTAATTAGGCTAATTAATGATTAACTGTCTGTTTCAGTCAGGTCTTTTGCAACATTTTGTAGCAAAAGAACTAAGCTTATTTTTGGAAAGTCATATTAACATGGTACATGTTACAGAAGTATAGGGTAACCATAAAGTTTGTATGACTAATGTCTGCATTGAAGAATTTTCTGAAGTCCAAGGCTGTTATACAAATATGGCTAATAGTTGAAGTATCAGAATTTGTGCACTTTTGTCATATTGTGGAGAACACAAGGAATATAAATTGACAATCCCACAGGTGGAGGATGTCATGGTCGAGCTTACAAAGTACCTATGTGTTGGGAAACTGTTATTTGAGAGTATTGAATCAAAATGCACTTTTCGTTTTTTCACTCCAGCCAAGCTGAAGTACTAATTTTCGAAAAGCCCAAATATTCACTATTATCAGTAGAGTCAGAAAATTTACCAATTTCAAAAAAGCCAGAGAATTTACCAATTTCAAAAGAGCCAGAGAATTTACCAATTTCAAAAGAGCCAGAGAATTTACCAATTTCAAAAGAGCCAGAGAATTTACCAATTTCAAAAGAGCCAGAGAATTTACCAATTTCAAAAGAGCCAGAGAATTTACCAATTTCAAAAGAGCCAGAGAATTTACCAATTTCAAAAGAGCCAGAGAATTTACCAATTTCAAAAGAGCCAGAGAATTTACCAATTTCAAAGAAGCCAGAGAATTTACCAATTCAAAATCAAAAGAGCCAGAGAATTACCATTCAAAGAGCCAGAGATTTACCAATTTCAAAAGAGCCAGAGAATTTACCAATTTCAAAAGAGCCAGAGAATTTACCAATTTCAAAAGAGCCAGAGAATTTACCAATTTCAAAGAAGCCAGAGAATTTAACCAATTTCAAAAGAGCCAGAGAATTACCAATTTCAACAGAGCCAGAGAATTTACCAATTTCAAAAGAGCCAGAGAATTTACCAATTTCAAAAGAGCCAGAGAATTTACCAATTTCAAAAGAGCCAGAGAATTTACCAATTTCAAAGAAGCCAGAGAATTTACCAATTTCAAAAGAGCCAGAGAATTTACCAATTTCAACAGAGCCAGAGAATTTACCAATTTCAAAAAAGCCAGAGAATTTACCAATTTCAAAAAAGCCAGACAAATTTACCAATTTCAAAAGAGCCAGAGAATTTACCAATTTCAGTAAAGCCAAAACATTTATTAATTTTAGAAGAGCCATAAAATTTGTTAATTGTAGGAAAGCCCGAAAATTTACTAAATATAGAAGAGAATTTTAGAATTTATTAGGATAATATGAAAATACATGTATTAATGAAATGTGACGACTGACTGAGACTGTAGTGACGTATTTCCAACTGTGACATATTGTCTTTGAGAGATTTATGTCCCTACGGAACATGATTTTGGTTTTAGTTTTGACTAGTACGGATCAATTTAAATTGGATAATGTGGTCATGACGTTGTTGCTGTCTCGTCCCAATTCGTCTCAGACGTACATCAGTAAGTGGGTGTGATGACTTAGTGGTTAAAGTGTTAGACCAGGGGTGGGCTGTTACAGATAATAGACTTGTTTACGGCCCAAAACTCAATATGAAACTATGAATAAAAAAGCAGTCCATTTACAACAGCTAGCCCAGCAGGGTATATATTAGGCAGCAAAATGGAACAATCAAGGCCATTACTTATCGATTTTAATCGGTAAGTATGTTGATAGGTATTTGTCTGTCTGTTTGTTTGTCTGTCTGTCTGTTAGATGCACGCGATATCTCACAAAATCTGCTCCAGATTTTGCATGTGCATTCATCATATGTCGTACCAGAAGCCTATTGATTTTGGATGAATTATGTAGTATAATTAGCGAGTTATTAAGTAATTAGTGATGGGACACAGAGTGTCACTATGGAGCAAGAGCGCTGTTTTGGGATCCCCTAACTTTCGATCGATAAGTCTTCGGTCTCTGACCAATATTCTCGTTTTGATATTATTTGATAAATACAAATCACCCACAAGGTTGTATGGTACCAAGAAAGTAGATGAAACGCCTTTTCTGCCTTGAAAGCAATAGGTATTTGCTGCAGCGAGACAGTGAATACCATTGAAAAATGAGTCAGTGACATGAATTTAGACAAAATAACTGGATTTAAATATCCATAAAAACTGAAGTCGTAATTTTGTTGAGTTACTTGGGTAGTCCCCGAACTCGGAATAGAACTGAAATAAGAAAAATTGGAATAATATTATGGCCTAACCCTAGCCTGGTGCACATACTATGTTCAGGTGTCCGCCATCTTGTTGCACATACTACGGGAGCTAATATAAATCACTCAGATCAAAATGACAATTTTTAAATTGAGATATTCCTAATAATTATTTTCAAAAATTTTGCAGTATTTGAGTATTAATCAATTTCAACTTTTTTGTGTATTCAGCCCGTTTCAGACGCCTTTAATTTATGGTTATTTGACAAGGGCGACTCTGATTCCACATAATGCCTTTGCTTTTCCTCAGCGTTTGTGACCTTTTAATTCAAGTAAAATTTTTATCAATGAGTTACATTACAAGCACATTCAATAAAAAAGTATGTCAGGAAAATGAGGTAATGTTGTAAAATTGGCAATGTCCCGCAATTAATTTAGTTATTTTATTGACCCTCATCAATTAATATCAAATCTTGTCTTATTAATTAGACTAATTAATGATAAACTGTCCGTTTCAGTCACGACTTTAGCAATATTTTGTATGAGAACTACGCTTGTTTTAGGAAAGTCAGATTAACATGGCACATGTTACAGAAGTATATTTAAGTTGCAACGAGGGTACCAAAACAGCGCAAAGGTTCTCAATGTGAATAATAATAATATTAAGCTTATTAATGATTAACTGTCTGTTTCGGTCATGACTTAAGTAACTTTTTGTAGTAGAATTACGCTTGTTTTAGGAAAGTCAGATTAACATGACGCATGTTACAGAAGTATAGTTCATAAATTTTTAAAATTGCGAAGGGAATTTATCGATATCATATATTGTTTTGACCCTCTCAGATGTATCAAATTAAGTTAAAATACTTGAAGAATTACTGATTAAAAAACAACAAACCTGGTTAAGATATATTGAGAACTGATTTCATAACAAAATTGAAATTGACTTATGGACACCCTATATATTCAAGTTTGCAATGAGGGTACCAAGATACAGTGTATGAAACTGCAGGAACTTTCACCCGGCTTGTAGACATTTCGGCCCATGCATTTAAATTACAGCTCCTTTTGGAAAGATCAATCTTGTCCTACTAATTAGGCTAATAATAATTAACTGTCTGTTTCGGTCATGACTTTATCAATATTTTGGGGTAGAACTACGCTTGTTTTAGGAAAGTCAGATTAACATGGCACATGTTAAAGTAGTATATTCAAGTTTACAATGGGGGAGATATTGTATTTATTGGCAAGGTAAAAGATTGTTTTATTAGGGCAGTTATAAATTGAATTAAATTGATAACTTATCAGCACTACTTTCTGCCTGTTTACATTATATCCACATTTTTAGGTAAGAAAATGACATTGACTACTTTTTGTTACGCTTGATTGCCTATCCAGATCGATTTTAATTCCGTTCAACAGATAGTAAATAAGCTCTAAATACACAACCAGTATTGTAAGGATCTTTCTTGTCGCTGAGAATGTTAAGATAAAAAATCAATATCGACAAAAACCAGCGTTCCCATTGTAGCTATTATTTTTGTAATTGAATTAATGGAAAATTGTGATTTTACTGCTTTGCTTCTGTTTGTACTGTGGTAATAATATTTTATGGATGGCTTCATTTATCTTAAGAGCAACTGGTCAATGGCAATGAATTAGTTTAAAGCAATAAAATTGATTTGCAAGCATATAAGGGCTAGGGTAGCAATAAAAGGTAAGTTAAGAATGCTAGTACTTATTCAAGCCAAGGCTGCCCAAATCAAAATCCGGATAATTTATTCTGAAAAAATATCTTAATATTTTAAAATATTATAGATTGGATTTTGAATTGAGTGGTTTTTAACGAAAAACAATAGGCTCTGAGATGTAAGTTAATACTTTCTTTGAGAGGGCTGGAATATTTCAACCTTTTGGATAAAAATTTTTTTAAATGAAGAGCATTTTTCATACACTGCAATTTTTTATAGCTTGAAACGCTTTTTAGACTTTCAAGACTAGAAAACCCACATTTTATGGACCGGCTAGCTGTTAGGGCCTAACTGTGCAATTAGTAGTTTCCGCCCCCCCCCCCCTCCTTTGACAATTCCCCTGATTAGGCCGCAACGTTTAAAACATGAGGTCAAGGTTTCTTGGATGATTGGATGTATAACCATTTAAAACTTCTCTAAAGCCTAAACAAATAACAGAGAGACGAGAATATCGGTTGGAAACCGAAGACTTATCGATCGATAGTTAGGGGATCCCCCAAAACAGAAACTGCAGTTTCGATTCATCCGCTCTTGTAACTTGCGCACTGCGCATCGCACACACACACTCGGCGGGTTTCAAAATTATCTCGCTTTACAAAAATCTAGATCACTATATCAATAATTGATTGATAACTCGCTAATTATACGACATAATCTATTCAAAATCAATAGGCTTCTGATCCGAGCTAAGATGAATGCACATGCGAAATTTGGATCAGATTGAACCTTGCTTTCGTGAGATATCACGTGCATCTAACACACAGACATACAGACAGACAAATACCCATCAACATACTTACCGATCAAGATCGATAAGTAACTAGGTCAGGAAGTACTGCACTATAGGCCCCTTTTTTTTACCTACCGTAATAACATATGTGATTCTGATACAAATAAGGTGTGAAACATAAGATTAGTTTGAATCGTCAATCGGTCTTCTCTAATCCAATTTTTGGAAACATACTTTTCCGTAAGAAAATCAATGTAATATGTATTGATTTTTTTTATTAGCCATAAAATTAGCTCTAATCCCTGGAAAGTAATTGCCTTGTTTTGAAGGGGTCTCTGATTTCTCAAGAGAGCTCATTCACGGAAAAGATAATTGGACTTCTTGAATTGTAACTTTCCTGGCACTCCAGAAGTGTGTGTGCCAATATGGAGGTAACTAACTTTGTTCGCCTAGTTTACATCAAGTTGTGTAAAGGGACTGAAGCCAATGTGCAGGGGGTATATTCACTTGGCTAACACAGACAAACCCCAAACTGAAATAGAACTAAAATTGGAATACAATTATGGCCTAATCCTAACCTGGTACACACACTACGGGAGTACCACTTTGTCAGCTATGTCTGTTTTGCATTGAAGGCTTAGTTTTCTCAGTCAGTGAATTGTTAGTATGCGTAGACATAGAGCCACGTTTCCCACCAACCGGGGGGGAATTTAGACATTCTTGGGGGGAGGGGTGGGTGGTGGTAACCACTGACATATAAATTCTAGCATACTATTGTTTTGTGCTATTGACTGGATTTCTGTTGAGCAAATTACTTATCCTTCTTCTATACTTTTGCTAATACAAGGATGCTATAGCAAGAGTGCAGATAACTATCGTAATTGATTTGACAGTCTTGCTGCGGATTATTACAAATTTGCAATATGCATGTCTGAGGAAAAAGTTAAATGAAACGTTGCAGAAACGTATTTGTGTTAGCGTGCAGCAAAAATCTTGAATCATTTAGAATATTTACTTGTTGTGAATGTAGCATTTCTTTTATCGTTACTGTTGCTGAAATGTTTAGTAGGGGGTATCAAGTCAGCAAGTATAAAGGTAATAAAATAGGTAGTAAAATAGTTATGTTTTTCGATTTAAGAAAGCAGTGTGACAATTACCTGAATAGGCTACCCTTTGTTTGATAAGGTGTCTAGTCCTGATGAAATCGGAAAATAATTTTTAGAAAGTTCCACTAGCAGGATTCGTTTACAATCACCTGCCACCACCTACCAGGCATTTTAATAGTATATTGATATCAGCTATTCCGATTTATCGTGTTCTTTGGCTGGTCCATTGTATTTCTTAATTGCGTGCACTTGTATTGTAACCCTCAATATCCAGGTTCAGATATACACACGTATTTTATTTTTACCATTTACTCCAAGTTGCTTTTATATAGACAATAACAAATATTTTTAAATTTACAGATTTGATTAATATTAGTAATAGAAGTACAATAGAAACTTTAGACTCGCCGTTTAGACTCCGCGAATTTGTAGTATGAAAACGCTTTCATATACAGGGATAATCAGCTACTTATTATAGACAATGTGAGTGAATTCCTTAAGCTTACACAACTGAACGAGAGTTGTGAAATTTTTTGGAAGCAAAAATGGAATTTTACGACGCTGAAGAGTTTGATGGAGAATCATTTGATCTAGAAAGCCCGCTAGATGAAGTAGTTTTACCTTATCAAGAAGAGGATTGGGAACTTTCAAATGAGTCGCAACAACAAGTCCCATATGCTGATGGAAACATCCAGTGGGAAGACTTAGTCCCGTACACGCAGGAACAGTTAGCTTCGTTTTATCGCAACGGTTTATTAGAACGAAGCAGCATCTATACAGACCAATTTTTGGAAAACTCAAAAGACCATAACTCTGATTTGAAACAATTATTAATAACGCTTAAAAAAGCGACCGAAGTCGTTTGCCAGTTACAAGATGAATGCAAGGAGCGTAATATCAACATTCAAGGCTTATGTCAGCGTGTTTTCGACAACGAAGTAGGACAAGTGAAAGCCGAAGGATACTGCCAAGATAAACGTAAAGTTCATACAATCCATCCGTATACTACATGTAAATTCAACGAAGCAGTCGCGTCAGAATTAGGTGTTGCTATTCTAGATTGTCAGCATTTAGCGGTGGAAGACACGATGCTTGCTATGTACACCAGGACTCTAACAAGACTACAGTGTGAGCAATATCTTTTTAATGCTGCCACAAATGTCCGATATCACACTAAAAATTATAATGAAAACACTGATTCAATTAAATCCTCGATACTTGTGAAACTCGCTGAAGAATCAATAGACGTTGTACGCCAGTGCATAAATACGTTGTTCTATTTTCTTCGTAAAGAAGAGGAAGTAGACACTTCTTTTGGCGTAATTATTCAAGGCTGGATTTGCCAACTTGTTTGTTTGTTGTTTGAAATTACTAAAGGTGATTATCAAAATTTAGTTAATGAAGAACTATTTATTACTAATCATATCATTCGTTGTCCACCAAAGTCACAATCTTGGGCAGAAAATATTGTTCAAATTTCGTCCCCCAGCATTGAGTCTGATTACTGGAGCCAAAAACTGTTTCTAGACCATGTAATACATATGTTGTTTTTAATTTTACGTGCGCCGAAGGGTCGCGGAGAATTTTTGTCTGGATCGAAGTCAATAATGTCTTTGCAGAACCAGACTTCTTCGGAAGATAATTGGACTTTTCTAGATGAAAACGGGGATGATTTAAAAGGTGTTGGAAGCCAGTGGCATATTCTACCTAAAGAAAGCGATATGGTGTCTTTATATAGACAAATTCCTTTCGAAAAAGTATTATCGCAAATTTTTTGTCTTTGCAAAAATGAAAACGGCGCATATCTGTATAAAAATGAGCCCATCACGAGTGAAAAGTTTCTGGAAGCTATTGCATGCTGTGATATTATGTGCGACGTTTTGGGCGAGGGTCTGGCAACACTTGGCGCTCCGAGATACAAGCAGTTGGTGCGTCGTATCGCACAAACGCTGAGAAATATTGTTCTCCTAATGTCTGAAGAATGGAATTTTTTTAAAGAAAGCACAGAAGATAAGCCGCAGATTCATTCAATAGAAAGACTTCAAACTGAATTTGATGAATTCGTAAAGCGCTGCGTAGAACGATTACTTTGCGTAGCACGGCTTGGTGTGTATCAGTTTTTAGCGGATTTACCATTTAAATCGGTGTCCCAAAGAGCTGCGGAAACGTTGTACGTTTTAATGAACGTTCCAGCTGGCTCTCGGGCTGAGGTGGATCAACTCGCAATGACAAAATATACTCGACAAGAGTGGTTAGATTTTGTTCAAGATACTGACACAAAATTAGCGTTCGAAGATCGTCTATCAGAAATGCCGGAAAATGAAATTGTCTATCTTTTGACCACTTTCTGCAACTTAGCGCACGCCCGACCAGCTACAGAAGACCATTTGATTAATATCATTGCGATGGATGTCTACATGGTCTCATTCGTTTATTCATCGACAAGAGACATTTGCAGCAAAATGGGACGAGAACTCTTATGCACAGTTGCATCAATGCATCCTTTTATAATATCAACAATTTTACAGTATCTTCATACCAATTCAGAGAAAATTTCGAGCACTGCTTTTTACGCTGTTTCCGATTTACCTTTTAACCAATGGATTCCTACAAAACAAGATATTGAGTTGTTAAGAAACTGGATTCTGGATCATGCTATCACATCAGTACCAGTACGTCTTGTGCAATGCATTTTGAGAGGAATGAACTGGGGTACTGGAGAGGATGGATGTCTGTTTTTACCGCACTCTTTGCACTGTGAAATCGCACTTTTACTCGTCGAGGTTTGTCATTTTTATGAAATGGAGAGAAAGCAGTCTGGTCTCTTACTAAAAAGCATTGATCATGTTTCAAAAGTAGCGTCTGCTATGCGTTCTTCTCTCTCCGTTGAAGAAGCGTTTGAAACTTGGGTGTGGAATATACTTCTTCGACTTAAACTCCACAGAGCGCAACTGAACTGCACAGAAAGCTTAGAAAATCGAGACAAACCATCACCATTAATGGACGCAAATGAAGGAACGTTACTTCCGCGTTCGAACATGGAAAAATTGCCGCATTCTAGTTACGTTACGATCATGATGACGAGCGTTGGGCACAGTTTAAACGTCTTTTTACAACAAGGACTTACGCTGCTGAAAAATTTAATCGAAAGTGGCCAAAAGATCCCTGCAGTACAATGCTTGGCTTTCGTTATCCCCATGTTCATACAAGGTGGAATTGACTTGTCAATTAATAACACTTTTGTGCGTATTTTACGAAGTTGTATTGTACCGGACGCTTGGGTGCTCTCTAGCATCACAAGTAAGCTTGTAGAACAAAAACCTGACGTACCACTGTTTTTGGAACTGTTAATGGGATCGATCAGTGATCTTTTGACAATAAACGATGCAACGACGGTGCTAACCTATTGGATTAAAATGGTGCTGGCTACTCCAGGATGGTGGGAAGATTGCAATTCTAAAATATTGCTCGATTTTTTGTTCAAATGTGCGTTTCATGACAGTCCTGAATGTAGTTTCGAATGCGGCTCGATTTTATACGAACATCATTACGAGTTAATGACACATAATCAAAATAACTCGACGTCTCCTAAACACCAAAATCGTTCTGTTCTGTCTTCAATAATCAATGCTGTAAGTGGTGGAAACTCATCTGGTGCTCCTTCATTTGCTCGTGAAATTCAAGCGCATTTTACTTATCTTTTTTACTACCTTATTTCTGCCGAGTCAAGGTTTGAAGATGATAGTAAATTATGGACAACAATGCTGCCAATGATGAAATCAAATACTGCTGAATCATCACTTAAAAAAGCATCGTCACAGTTGAAATTACAACACCATCCTGCTTTACACCAACTTGCGTTGTATCGCTGGGCACAGTTAGTAATTTTAACCCTTCCAGAGCACCCCCTAGTGTCCGCGATTTGTCAAAATTTCTTTCTGCGATACATCCATACAGACCCGTATGTAGGAGCAAGTATGGGACCTAAATTTTTCAAAGGATCAGCTGAAGATCTGATTTTTAAGAAGCTAGACACGAAAATTAATTCAATGTGCAATGGACAGACAGTTGAAGGTGAATTTGAAATGAAACTACAAAAACTTTATCGAACATTCGGAGTCTGGTTGGAGGAAGAAAAATTACACGATGACCATTTATACCTACCTTCGTTGCCGTCTCATTATGAACCTGACCTTTTAGCGACAATCCGAACTCAAAATAAAACCATCTGGACACAATATATCAACTTTTCTGAAATTTCAGACGAAATAAAACAAGTTAATAAAAAGTGGAACAATTTTCATACGCATAATTTCAAACCTTTTCCGTCTCATTCATCAAGTCTTTCAATTCATGCTACCAGTTGTCAGCGAATCACGCAGCTCCTGCGTCAATTTGAGTCACCTTTGAACCTCGACCCTTCACTTGCAAGTGCAATCGATTTTCCAATTCTTGTTGACCAGTTGATTTCATCGACACCAGAAACACTAGTTGGGGATATTGAGCAAGATGTAAAAAGCGTGCTCACTCATGCGCAAACATTCGCAGATTCAAAAACGAAACTCGAAAATTTTAATCGCAACTATTTGGAACTATTACCTGATCTTTACACCAATGAAGAACAGCGTAAATTGGTGAAAGTAGAGTGCCAATCAGCATTCTCGCCAACACACAGATGCGCAGGGCCAGCTCAATTTCCACTAAGCTTTCTTGAGAAATCGATGAACGACATAGCCTCAGAAAATTTGAAAAAGAATCGAGCATCGTACCGGGAAATTATCAGCGTTTTAACAAATCCAGACACATCTCAAGATTTCAGCTACTCTGCTGTTCACTTGATAACGGTAGTTCAAGCATTACTGAAAAAAGCACAGTCATCAGATAATGACAAAGCGCTTTTTGAAAATGGAGCAAAGCTTTTCTATAACCTTGCAGATCTGAATTCTGATGAAAGATGGAAGTGTCCCCCGACAAGGCATTTACTAATAACCTGTATTGATATGTTAGGGCAAGTCTTCATCTATGGACAACCAGATCAAGCTGTTACCCTTTTAGAACAGATGCTGAAACGCCCGGAGACAGCTGCATTACTTTCAGCGCATTTTTCGCCAGCGAAATCATGTTCTAGAGTTAAAAATGAGGGCGGTTCACACACTGAATTTGATACTAAAGTGTTTGTCGACATGTATAAACGTGTAGTAAATGCTGCATCAACTGGTAACTCATCTGACATTCTTTTTGTACTTATCACAAAATTTGATTTGGAAAATTGGTGTGACGCGTATATGCCGCCGAAATCAGAGAAAGTCACTTTGTTAGATGCCATAATAAACGGTCTAGTGTCGCACACTACGTTTTTGTGGCCTCCTGAAGATTCTACTGAAGAAACTACGCTCACAAGGTCCCAGTCTACGCAGTTATCGAACTCCGCAGTTCAAGAAGTGTTTATGACTCATTTAAGCATTTTAGTTCAGCATTCACAGGACCAAGTCTTCTTTGAGGCTATCAATTCGCTTTTAGAGGCCAGTTATAAAGGCAGTGTGGATCCAATTGCTTGGGAAGTTTTAACTGATGCGGCATTCAATCCTCAGCAATCAAATGTGCAAAATTCTGCCAGAAGTGAATCAAAATGTGGACTTTCATTTGAAATTGTTGATACAGCAATAAAACAGTTAGCTGTGTATTTTTCAGAGAAAAGAAAAACAACAAAATCAGGATTGTACTCTACATGGAAACCCTATGTTCATCCGCTATCAAAATTATTCCACAAATTAATCAATTTCGAAATTAATTACAACGAATCAAAACAGGGTATAAACGGCACTACCTATTTCAGCCACCATGCCTGCTTAGTGGACCGAATTTTGCCGCTCTTTTCCGCATGGCTAGATCCGCTGAAAATGGAAGAAAAAATGCAATGGCCATGGAAACCTGACGACCAAGAAACTGTGTCGTCTATCCTAACAGTATTCGCGACTCTTATCAATTCGATCTGTAGTGAAAAAACAATGGATGTGTCTCAAAGTGTGTCTTCATTATGGGAATTCTATCTTAACAATTCTCTTTTAGCTCATGAGAAGACATCACCAAGTTACATATGCGGTTCTTATCAAACCACGCTCAGCGCTTTACCTTGGAATAAATTTATTCCAAATTTAACAGACTTAGACAAAATGGTCCAACTTTGTAACACTAGAATTGATTGTTCTCTTCATTTCCTATGCCATGTTGTACCACAAATTGACTGGTCAGCTATCATGAAAATGTGTTTTATTTCGAGCCCTGAAAATTCTACACATCAGTGGTCAGAACACACATCTGAAGTATTATGCTACTTGTTACATGTCTTGTATGTTCTGAGCTCAAATGAAGCAAGATTACACTCTTACCCCAAATTGCAACATTTATTGACTTCTATCGATGTTTTTCCTTGGCATTTGATTGGCTATGACCAGTTTGATTTTATTGCCAATATAATTGCGGACCAATTTCACGCATTCTGTACAATTTTCGACTGTGAAGACCAGAAATTACAATCACCACGATATGCTGCTTTGAGACTACTACAAATCGCTTCAGGGTTGCCGGTTTTGGAAAAAGATTTTGACTGGAAAAAGGTAATGGAAAACTGCAATTCAAAAGAGACTGTTGATATTACGTGGATGAAAAGACAATCCTTTATTCGGTGTGTAGGGACACTAGTTCGAAACTCAGCCAAGACACAAGATAAGCGTGAAATTCAAACTCTAGAAGCTGTGACATCAAATTTAGTTATGAAACTAATGAGAAGTATTTTGCTTGTCGTACAATTTGACTCTGGCATTGACGAAACTAGACTTTCCTCTCTTTATTCCGAAATTTGGAGAAGCATGAATACATTTACTCCGAAGTTACAGGAAATCACAAGATCACAGATTTTAAGTTTCCTTAATGAAGTTGTTTTATCGACGCTTGATTTGTCAATGGACACACAATCTCTACAAACTGTCGACTTGGTTTTGACAAGCATTCTATCTTCGGCAGCAAACACAATTTCAAGTCCTCTGCATTTAGCTGTAGTGGCTGAATACGGGCTTGATTCATGTTTGAAATTGATTTCTAAGTATCACCCAGAAGTGAACGACGAAGTGGATAAAACCACATCCGACGATACGCTCCCAAAAGTTTTGAACTTGTGGCAGAATCTTTGCCACACCCTAAGTCAAGTTTGTAAAGTCTCCCAGAGTGAGCTTATAGAAGCATGTCTATCAAATGGGTGCATTAATACTATACTTGCATTATCGCAAAATATAGTCGATGAAGCGAAACGTTGCGGCAACGGAAATGACTCTAATGGCCCAATGTATAGTGCTTTTTTCTCTATTGTACAATGGATCTCGTCTTTGATTCCGAAAAGCGATAATGAAGCCAAATTGTTACTTTTAATTGGATATGCATTGAAAGTTTGTGACACGTTGGAACAGGACGCTAAACTCTCCCCAGAATCTGAAGTTAATCTTAGCTCAGTTTCCGAGAGTTTTCATTCACTTCTTCCCATGTTAGAGCACTGGAGTACTGACCGTGTTAAGACAGGCATACTCGGAACTTTTGGAATCGGACGTGCTACTTCATTATCAATTGGATTTCGAGTTTCTATTCGTTGCATCTCAGTTCATATTCAACAGATAACAGCACGACTACGGCCCGAAGGAGAGGATACTCTTACAAAAGCTCAAATAGCCATTGATAGTCTACGGAAAATGCCTCTTGAAAATCGGACGTACACTCAAGAAATTGACAGAATCCATGAACTGTTAGACCTAATACAACAGATTAGTGATAAGCCTACATGTGCTGCCCATTTGTCTTTGATGAAAAATATTTTTGCTTTTCATTATCAAAAAGAGGCTGATTGGTTGCATGTTCTATAATTGTAATTTCAAAAATGTTTTTTCATATCTAAAAATGTTGGTATTCATGTATCCTATTCACAAATTTAGTTATATCTGAGCTGGGGAGCCTGGGAAAATTAATGCCCAACAAGATCTCGACCTATTAGGTTCCTATCAGAAATTTAGACTTTATACACTGCCATTAGAAGTTTGAAGCTAGGAGTCCACACAGTGTTCAAAAATGGAACATCTGAATAAAATTTATTACCATTAAAAAGCACTCAGACTCTGCAGACTCGTTTCTAGTATTCTAAATAACTTGTTCATCAACCTTCAGTTTTTTAGGCCTGAACCGTAACCAGGCGAAGTTTTATTTCAAAGTTCTTTCATAATATTATTATAATTAAACTACCTATTCTGTTTGTATTATCGTAACCACAAATCACAGCCAACTTTTGGGGCCAATTTGGGGTGTAAGGTTGAATATTTCTCCTTGTTTATTTTGCAATATTTGTCTGTAAATTTGTCATTATACTATGCTCTAATTATATGTGTATTTTAAATTTTGAGATCCTATTTCTGTCAACATAGTTCCAAAAGAATCCCCATTGAATTGTACGGTACTGCAATAATTTGTTCTGTATTGTAATTCATTCATATTATTGTTGTGAATTTGCATCTCTGAAACTTGTGCGCAGATATGAAATGCCCAAATTTGTGATTTTTTAATTTAGTCAGCATTGCAGCCAATTCTTATATTCTTAAGTAAAATGGTAGTCCTAATACATCTCAGGCTACTAACCTACGACTTAATATTCTTATAATTAGGATAAGAATTTTAACAGCTAATAAAGTGCTTTAGTTGATCATATGACAAGCAAAGGTCTCTTACAAGTTATGGTAACATTAACAGTCTTTTGTCTTATATGCATGAACTTGGCTGTTACCTATAACAGGCCCACTCAGAAAAGTAATTGCCCACTCATGAGTTAATTGGTTCAGCTGCATGGACTTGAGATGTCCAAATACCTTGGTACAATTTGCACAGTTCAAGCAAGTACCTAAAATAAGCTGATGCCAAAATTACCAAAAACACTGTATTGCTTACCGTATTTCAAACTTCATTAGTTGATCTCCTAACCGAATCTTCTTAATAGATTTAACATTAATAAATCCTATTTTTGCTGAATTTGACATCCAAAATGTCTTTTTGAAATCCGATTTTAAAAAGTGTTCATTGTAGCTTTTCGTACTTCCTTTTATTATTATTTTTGTCAATAAGTATTCTATATTTTGTTGCTGATGTATTATTCTCACTTCTCAGAGTATTATTGATGGATGGTGGAGTGAATTTTCGACCAATTCCTATTTTATTATTTGTTATATATGAGCCATGAATGTCCATAGAACTAAGGGATGCTTTGATAAGGATCTTTGCCCCAAAACCCAAGCGCTTTGTAAACACAATTCAAACATGCTGTCAATTTCCTTTTCTACCCAAATTCTGTATTGCACAAAGGAATCCAATTTTTTGAAGTGAACCCACTTCTAATTGGTAACTCCTTGCGAGGGCATATTCGGAAATTGAAAATTTGATAAGGAGGGGATTCTAAAATTTCTAATTGCGAAGTTAGGGCCATAACAGCTAGCAAGTCTAGCCTGAAAACGTAGTTTTTTAGGGGTTTTGAGGGTCTAAAAAGCGTTTCAAGTTACGAAACATTAATGTGGGAGGGGTTGGTCCCGATCTTTGACCCCCCTGGCTCCTAGCGTATCTGTGAATGCTTGCTCATTTCCTTATTCAGGGTGAAGACGTTGTACAGTTGAGCCTAACTGTAGTTGTGAATTAATGAGTTCAGTGAATTGTACCTGCCCTCCAAAAATTTACTACCACCGATTTCCCTATTAGTGTTAACAGATATCTTTCATCACAGGAATCGATATTTTTATTATAAATCCTTCTGTTATTATCCATCTCATTGTGTTTAGTTATTTGGGTACTTTTTTACATTTCAAAAAGAGGGGCGCCCTGGGTCATTTTCCACATCAGGTGATATCACATTGCTTATTATTTTGTATTGTTACATAGAAATGGTCTGTTCTTATTATTTGTTTATTTTATTGACAATCTGCATGCATGCTGTTCATTTTATTGCTTAAATATTCTGTATGATTTTGGTGATGATCACAGCATTTAGGGGACATGATAGGTGCTTGTTCGTCTTTTAAAATACTGGTATACTATTATCTTTTGACTTTCTCTTTTTATTTGTGCTCAATGTTAAATTTATTATCAGCTCAAAAGTGAATTCTCTCAGCAGTAACAAACCAGTTATATAAAAGTAATGCTCTACCGGCTTGCATCTCTTAATGTCGAAAATTTGAAATTCATTGGTTCATAAGTTGCTGAAAAAAACATTTTAATTTAGCTAAACAATTCATATTAGTGTTATGGTCCCTGTGTCATGGTCTTACTCTTGCAAAATTTATCATTTCTTGTTCGTAACTTCGCTTAAAAATTGATCTTCTTCATTTTTGAGAGAGTATGGTATGTGCTTCTCATTTCCTCAACCATTATTATTTTTGCATAATGTTGATAGCAAATAATAAATAGTCCAAATATTGCCAGTATTAATGAATAAATGGCTTCTTAACTATATGCTATAGTCTAACTTAGGGTGTGAAACCTTTAGTGCATGAGGGCCAGATGCAAATAACTGGATGAAACTGCGGGCAGCACATTAATTTAACATAGGCTTTCTAGTAGTTGCATACGCATAAATTTTGATTATTGATTTTGTGACATGTGCTGTCCACTTAGGCTAGCTGTTAAGGCATTGCAACCCCATGGGCAGATTGAGCTAAATTAAACACTCGTTTCGTGGGCCGCACAATTTTTCATTGAGGGCCGCCGCTTGCACACCCCTCGTCTCTAACTGGCTTAATTAGCTGCATTAAAACATGTTTTCTTTTTTTTTGTCACCTGTTATTTTGGTAATGAAGACCGTGCTTATTGGGTATTTATGATTTTTTGGAAGCAAATATTATATTTTTGTTTGTGCTTTTTATCTATGCTTGTTTCAACACTGCAATATTGAAATTGTAAAATGAATATTATTAATTTTATTGTAAAGTTATATATTCTTTATGTTGTTTTATTAATGTGATCTTGTCTTTTTAATTTAGAAAAATAATCAAAATGACTGCCATGCAGTATAAGTTAGAAGGTAATCGTATGTTTGCACAAAAGAAATATGAAGAAGCGATAAAATGCTACACGAAGGCGATAAATAAGACTTCTAATAATGCTGTTTTCTTCACAAATCGGGCTCTGTGCAACATAAAGCTACAAAAATGGGAAGCCGTCGTAGACGACTGCAAAACTGCCCTTGATTATGACCCCCAATCCGTCAAGGGTCACTTCTTTCTTGGACATGCTATTGCAGAGCTTGAAAATTTTGATGAATCTATCTCAGAGTTACAAAAAGCACATACACTCGCGAAACAACAAAAATTAAATTTTGGTGATGATATTGCAGCGATGCTACGTAACGCGAAGAAAAAACGCTGGGATAAATTAGAAAAGGAACGTATTTCACAGGAAATTGAACTACAAACTTATCTCACTAATTTAATGGTTGAAGACGAAAAACGTGAGATAACCAAATTGGACGAAAACGACTCCACAAGCGATACAGACCGAAAAAATGTAGAAAAAAAATTCGAGGAGCGTCGAACTGAACTAAATAACTTATTTGCACAAGTAGATGATCGTAGGAAAACACGTGAAGTTCCAGATTTCCTATGCGGAAAAATTAGTTTCGAAATTATGAAGGACCCTGTTATTACGCCGAGTGGAATAACTTATGACCGCAAAGATCTTGAAGAACATCTGCAAAGGGTCGGACATTTTGATCCCGTTACCAGACAAAAACTAACTGCTAGTGAATTGATTCCTAATCTGGCTATACACGAAGTGATCGAGAAATTTATTGGAGAGAATGGTTGGGCTGAAGATTACTAAGATGTGATTTTAATTTAAACGCTTTCTTGTAAAATCATATAAGAGGGTTGAAACTTTTTCTCTAAACCAGTGGTGTGTGGCCCGCGGCCCACAAGGAGAAATTATATGGCCCGCTGAGAAGTGCCAATTTTGAATGATGTTCGGCCCGCGAAAAGAGTTTTTTGATTAAGTTTAAAATGGTACGCGCAAGTTATTTCTATCCATTTGCGTTGCAAAGCCTGGACCCAAATCCTATACCTGAGCTTTTGCAATGCGAGCAACGCATGTCATAAGATTGATAACCAAAATGTTTGTGCCCTCAAATACTATAAAGCCTATGTTAAATGTGACTCACGGTTTCACCAGTTATTTGTATCTGGCCCTTCTGTTTCAAAGGTTGCCTACGTCTGCTCTAAACAAAGCCATGGACAAGCAGGTTACTGATAGGTAAGGGTATGCTATGATTTTGAAAAGACAGATTTGACAATGTCGGCGTGATGCGGTGGACAGGGGGTTTTAACCTGGTATCTTCGATCTTTGACTGGTCCAATGTGCCTACCATTGCATTGCTTGACCATGCAGCTCGAACACGAATCTGATGTGCCAACCATCATATGCGAGATGGGCATTTTTTTAGGGATTCGTTTCCAGAAAGTCTTCCTAGCCTGTTTGCTGAGCACTTCGTTGTTGTGGTTGGGTTTAGAGAACCTGGCTTCTTGCTATCAAATATGGAGCCTATACGCTTTTCCTATGCTTATTTCCTTTTTAATGGGGATTGGGGCCATATATCTATTCCTAACCTGCTGTCTTTATGAAAGCCTAACTGCACCTTTCATCCAAAAGAGTGTATTATGATGTCACTTTCACTTCTTTTGCCCCTCTCTTTATCAAAACTCTGAATAGGCTTGTGATCTTAGCACTTCAATACTTAAATTTTTTTCAAGTGTATTTTTGTACATATAGATTTTTTCTTACAGTATTCTTTCCTTTTGTGTAAAACATTCATTTTTTTGTGTGGGTGACATAATTTTGTTCTTTTATCTTCATCTAGGACAGGGGTTCCCTAGCTTTTGTCAGGACAGCCCCAAAAACAACTTTCAAGTGTCCAGTGCGACCCCAGGTCAATATATATAAACTTCTTTCACTGGACTTTTGAGTTTGGTCATGTGATGGTACTACTATTAAGTAAAAAAATAAGGTAAAACCAAACAGTGATGTCACAATAAGCACCTTACATTTTCTATAGCACAAGCAGAGAGCGATGCTTATGGGCCTGTTTACAGTAAGCCATGGTACAAACTGCTACATTTAACATGGTTTGTCAAATCTTAGTCGATCTGTACATCCATCCTCTACCATACCTAAGCGACCCCATGACCTGTTTGCGACCTTGCCTACTTATCACTCTGACCCACTTTGGGGTCGCGACCCCTGGTTTGGGAATCCCTGATCTAGGACCTAGATTTTTTCATTTCTCGCCCCCTTTGCCTCCGAGTATGGGCGAATTACCTACCGGTTGCTTGGAGCAAATAGAAAAAATGTAACATGAAGTTAAGAAGTTGCTTGGTGTTGCTTTCTGGAGAATCATTTTTATGTACCAGTATATCATTTTTATAAATTTGTTGTCGGCTCCGTAAATAATAGTCCATTTCTTCACAAACTCCATAACATAAAAGGTTGGGGAACCCCCGCTCTAGATCAATGCTTCATCCACCCTGTATTTCAATAAACGGAGCACTGGTTGCTCGTGACATGTTTTTTTTATTTCAAACTCTCTTTTTTTTGCCACACGGTTCACTATATTTAAGTCATTTTTCATTGCCTTGTATTTGTTAAGCTGTTTTATTATTTTGGTAGTTGCTAAAAAGCAGTGGTTCCCAAACCTAGGCCTGCCAGCCAACGGTTTGACATGGCCCACCGAATGTAAGTAAAATAGTTCACAACACTATGTTTTTTTCTTTTTGCGCTTCAGATACCGCCCCTTGCGGGCGCTCACCTGGCCCACGAATATCCTTCCGCTTCTGATTTTGGCCTCCTGTCAATCAACTTCGGAAATCACTGCTGTAAAGGGACATAAGCCCAGTTTATGAGATAAGTGGACCAGAGAGTAAGTTTGTCACCAAGTCTTAGGTGGGACCTGCTCCTCATAACACGTATGGGACCTAGAATCTACCAACCAAGTTAACACTATAAATACCACTGGAATGATGAACCATGAGTGCTGAAAGCCATAAAAAGGTTGGGAAACACTGCTCTACAGTAATTGCCTTCCAAATTCGTAGTAGCCTGGAACATTACCTTTAGTGGATTTCACTTTTTTGTTACCACTCCTGAAATGATTTGGATAGTGGTTTTTGACATTGCATTTTTTGTGATTTTGCACTTTATTAAATACTCATGTCAACCTTTTTGCATGTGTTGCTTTCTGCTTACTTCTGAAATTCCTAGTCTTCCATGTGTACAAATACAGGATGTTCATAAAAAATTCTCAAATTGCAAAAAGAATTTACCGATACCATTTATTGTTATGGCCCTTACAGATGTATTAAATGAAGTTAAAATACTTGAACAATATTAAAAAACAACAAATCTGGTTAAGCTATATTGAGAATTGACTTCATAACAAAATTAAAATTGTGAATGGACTTTATGGACACCCTGTATATCAGAATAAAATGAGCAATGTAACAATACTATCACAATGATTTGCATTTTGATTGTCTTTTATTAAGTTGTTCCAAGTTCAATCTTTTAGGACTTCTATATTAAGTCCAAATTTGAGGAAATATCCATGCCGCTGCGTTACCTCCAATTTCTTTTGTGTACATTTACAAGTGCTTCAACCAGGATTTCATTTTTGTATGTATTTTAAATATTGTTTCTTTATTTGCTAGAATATAAAATATCTGAGTGATGTGTGTTTTTTATGTTTGTTTAAGTTACCCTTGCTATCTCAAATATTGATGGTAAATGATACAAACCATATTCTTTTAGTTTTATCAAATTTTATCAGAAGTAAAGAAACTGAGATAAGATGTTATCAAATAGGATGTGCCTGTCGTCATTGACATTTTTGAAACAAAACAAATTAAAACTGAACACAAGACTGATATCAGACTTTGTGAAAATAGTGGAAGTTGGACCACGAGATGGTCTTCAAAATGAACCAAATATTGTTCCTACAGAGACGAAAATAAAGCTTATTAACGAGCTCTCAGAAACAGGACTTTCGGTTGTCGAAGCAACAAGTTTTGTTTCGCCAAAATGGGTCCCACAAATGGCTGACCACAATGAAGTCATGAGGGGTATCACGAAAAAGAATGGAGTGAATTACCCAGTTCTGACCCCTAATTTGAAGGGGTCTCAATCAGCAATATCCGCGGGAGCTAAAGAGGTCGCAATTTTTGGTGCAGCGTCGGAAGCGTTCAGTCTAAAGAATATCAACTGCTCTATCGAAGAAAGTCTGGGAAGATTCAAATCTGTATTGGAAGCAGCGAAAAATCAAAATGTGCCAGTGAGAGGATATGTGTCTTGTGTATTAGGCTGCCCTTACCAAGGGAAAGTACCCACTGGGGAGGTGGTAAAAGTGGCCCTAAAAATGATCGAAATGGGATGCTATGAAATATCTCTTGGTGATACAATCGGTGTTGGTACAGCAATAAAAATGAAAGAGCTTCTAAAACATGTTCTATCTGAAATAGCTTCTGAAAAAATTGCTGTGCATTGCCATGATACATATGGACAGGCACTTGGTAACATTGTGGCGGCTTTAGACCAAGATATAAGAATTGTAGACTCCTCTGTAGCTGGCTTGGGAGGTTGCCCTTATGCGAAAGGGGCATCTGGCAATGTTGCCAGCGAGGAAGTCGTTTATATGTTGCATGGGTCTGGCATAGATACTGGGATTGATTTGGATAAATTAGTTGATGTTGGCTCCTTCATAAGTAATGCACTTGGAAGAAAAAACTCTTCTAAAGCAGGAGTTGCTATTCTAATGAATCGAGATAAAAAGTGATATATTTTTTCATTTAGAATAATTTCTTATATATTGCACTTTTAATTGAAATAAATATCGAATTATGAATTTAGAGAATTTAAATTTTATGCTTTGGTGAAGGAACCTATGTAATACCAAAAGTCACAAGTGTTGAGCGGGACAGTCCGGGTCATCCTTCGGTTTTTTTCATACCACAGAAAAATCGTTGCCTGATGAAAAAGTCAGCTACTTAATCGATTGCCTGATCACCTTGCCGAACAGGAGGCTCCCGAAGTATGCGGACATCGGAATGTAGTATGTGTACTAGGTTAGGGTTAGGCCATAATTTTAGCTATAAATACTACGGGAGGCTCTTGGCTAGTCTTCGAACTGATAATAGGACCAAAATAAGAAAAAAAATTATCGCCTAACCCGTTACCCATGTTACGTTCCGATGACCGCCATCTTGGTTCGCATACTTCAGGAGCACCGGAAATTCTGATATTGAACCCCTCAAAATTCCCATTGAATTCCCTGCAAGATTGGTTTTAGACATTTCAGTGTGGGGTAACTGACTATTGTTCCAGAGGGGGAGACGTGGTGTAGCCAGTTGTTATCAATTCTGGTCACATATTTGAGTGAAAATAAAATTTGTGCTTATGGAATGGTTAGAAAACATTTTTTCTTGGAGCTGTATTAATGTGCTTTGATTAGAACCTCTCGACGATTTGGTTAAGTCATATCTGATACCGTAGGTAATTATTAAAGTAGTCGGTCGTACACCAAAAAAGTTCTCATGTTTTCTGAGGCTGCTTCCTGTGTGTTTACTATTACAGTCTCACTTATAGAGAGCAATGACTATTTAGCATTGGAAAATTGCATACCACATAAATTATAGACATTTTTACCGTTCGTGGGCATAAATTATTTAAATTGACATCATATATTATAGCGAGCATGAAACGACGCATACTTAATGTTAAACTCAGAATAAACTTATACAGACAGTAACATCATGCCAGATTCGAAGTAACAATTTCTGGTACTTTTTTATTATTTATTTGACGTTTCGTTGCGGGTGATTTCTTTGCCATCGTTGAATTTGATTTATGCTTAACTTTGGGAGACAAGTAATCGGTAATTTATTTTTTCACCAAACAGAAAAAAACACTTCATCTATCCAAAGTTCTAAGCTCAACACCACCGCAGCGTGGTATTTTCAATATGGGGAAGCACCTCCATGTTGAAATGAATTTCTGTGCAGAAAGTACACTCATTGCAGCCTTGAAATCTCGATAAAAATGACAGATAAAATAAGCAATCAAGACTTATGCAATGAAGTGGAGAAAGCTCATCATCGAATAAAGAGTTATATCAGACGGACACCTTTAGAATATTCTGCATATCTATCGGAAAGGACCTGCGCAAAGGTTTATTTAAAACTTGGTATGTGCCGGTGCCTGTGTTGCAGCATTTTGCTTTATTTGAAATATGGGCGTGTCTGAATTACGTGGGTGTGTCTGCGATGAGTGACGTGTTGTTTACAAACAAACTTTCATCCGGATGGGTTCCCTGGCCGCCAAATTGATTTTACTCCTTCCATTCTTCTGAGATTATCAGGTTTATATGACTGCTGGTCGCCTCCCAGGAAGGTCAAAAGGTGGTTTGGGTCTAATTTAGTGTAAGCTAGTGCTGAAAAATATTCTTATAAGCCTGGGCCGATAAAATCACAAATAGCCCAAAAGCTCTACATGCGATAAATCAAGTCATATTTTTTATAAATGCCAATAAAAAATAAATATGGTTAGCTTTAAGAACAAACTTGCCATTCATTGCGTTGCCGATTAAGGTTAAATTTGTTGTAGTTTCAATTATGTGCCAGATAATTGGGGTCTGGTATAGTTTAGTACCACATGCACTTCCAGTTGGCCTGGCTCAACAATTTTTGCATATGTCAATCCCGACCCTCATCTGACTACGTCGCCAAAAACTTCATTTGAACGTCACAGTGGTGTAATAAGGCTCACCAAAGTATGCGGATGATCGTCTCAAACGCGCAGACGATCGCCCAAAATCGAGCAAGCTATTTCTCTCGTTTTCTCGTCACAACGATCGCCATAGGAGAGAGATCGCCGGCGTAAGTGAGTTCGTTATCGGCGGCGCAGATGCCATTTTGGACGATCATAATTATACTTTTGCAAGCCCTATGGCGTGATGGCGACGTAATTTTTGGATGGCATTGTCAGGTGGGGGTTAAGAATAACATATGCAAAATTCGTTATGCTACGCCCACAGTAGGTAGGCTATTTGTGGTACTAAACTATACTAGACCCGATAATTGCTTGTTACTGTAGGATGGATTGTGTAACCACTGGTATCATGTTCAGTCATTTGATTGCTTGTACCAGACATTATTTCCACTTCAACATACTTTACTCAGACTTCCTTTAAAGTCACAAATTTTTGTTTATTAGTCTTCCTCATTCAATATGAAATGGTGAAACACTGAACTTTAATTGTATCACTAACATGATGATGATTTTTGGCCTCCCGTCAATTGCGAACAAAAATTTATCAGTTTGGGGTTACAAGAGACTAATTCCCTATTCACCCTCAATGTTCTTGCGCTCGCGGATCCTCATGCGTATAACGCAAGGATGCAGCAACAGGGGGATGCAGGCCCAACGACCCCCCCCTCTCTTCTTTGAAATGTGAAAAAATCATACAAAGCAATTTATCTTGCTTGAAGTGTTTTTTATACCCTCAAGACTCTTGAAACCTCCCCCCCCCAAAAAAAAATCCCCCTTGGCTTGGCGGTGTGGCGCATCGTGCTAAGCGTTAGGGATACGCTCGCCACCGCATCTCTGATTACACTTCGTGGTTTCGCAGGTTCGAATCCCATGCGGGGACAGTCATGTGCGAGAGGATAGCTGGACTCCTCGCTGCCGTAGGGTGGTTCACGTAACCGCTGGTCGGTTATGGCTTCCTCCACCATCAAGTTCATGCTTCTGAAACCAAATAGCTGACTAACTAATCTCATACCCGACCTGGACTGGTAACCGGACAAGAGGCCGTGGTTCGCCATACGTTTAAGTCGTCTTATCGACTTTCCTCTCCCCCAGGATAAATATGTAAATCCTATCCTATCCCCTTCCTTGAAAATACCCAGCTACAACAATATGCAGCAAAATTCTTGAATTACATGAAATAAAAATATTCTATGTCTGTTTTTTATTCAATTTATTTATTTAAGATGTCAATGTACAAGGAATATAATTGCCTGAATCTCATCATCTTCTTTGCAGAATCTGAGCAAATCACAGGTGCATTCAAAGCAAGAGGAGCCTTCAATAAAATCTTGAAATTTTCGGAAAATGACAGCAAACAAACAGAAGGAAAGAAATTTTTCACTGCTTCATCTGGCAACCATGGAATGGCAATGGTGTGTTTTAGTAATGATACGATTCAAAACCCCATATCTTAAGCTTTGGAATTTATGGTATTTTAACTCCTCCAGGTAAAATAAACTTATACTCAGGGGCAGTGGTGGGATTCAAATTTTTTGTCAGCTGGTTTCATCACAAAAGTCATGTTTTTTCAGCCAGTTCTGTTACAAAAAGTCATTGACAGTGACCGGTAATGCTAACCGGTTCGCTGATCTCAAAAAATTCTGTGAGGCGGTTCTATAGAACCGGTGCGAACCGGCTGAATCCCACCATTGCTTAGGGGTGTGGAATCTCAATTTTATACGACAATAATTCATTCTTTTTGCTGCAAACGAAATACAAGCCCAATACAAGCAACTATTTTTGGAAGGTTTGGAATCGTTCTGCTCCAGCATTTTCTGTCCAATGAATGACATGAGATTTCAGACAGTGCTATTACGATGCCAATACAGTTACGACTAATGCTCTAAGTCAGGGGTCAGCAACCTTCGGTAATATAATCCGGCCAACGACGCTCCACTGAATTATAGTAACAAAACGGCTGCTTTGATGATTACCTATATTCTTTACGTAATAAAATTTATTTTAAGACACGTGTAACAAGTATATAATTCACAAGTACTCGTTTAATGAGCCTCTAATTTAGTTATAATGAAACAAATGGCAACAAAACGCAGAGCCAAGTTGATGCTAGGTGCAAAGGGTTCAATGACACAGAAAATATTCAAATGGATTTTTTTGAGATGCAATGCAATGACGAAATCAATCTATGTTCTATCCAAGATATGTATCACTGCTGATTTTTATTATAAAAAGAATCTTCTTCATGGAAAACTCATTCAAATTTGACAAACATGCGATAAAATTCACATCGATGTTTTGGAGTACATATGTATGCGAACAATTATTTTCGGAAATGAACTTTTGAAAGAACAAGCTGAGAACTCGGATTAGAAAATGTTTTAATTAATTTTGGTTTCATCCACTGTCCCATTTAGAGAATGTTTCTTCAAGTGATGTTGAATACGTATCAACCTTAAAATTTAATTTCTGATCTGCGTAAAAAATTCGATTCATCACCCATCCGTTCGGCGACCCGCTAAGACTTGCAACCCATAATTTTGGCCCGCGAGCGACAAAAGGTTGCCGACCCCTGATTAAAGTGCTAAGATATTGCGCTCAATGCCCATTTCACCTTGACCTTCAAACTTCAAAACTTATCGGTATCCATTTTTCCATTTCCACTCTTTTTAATATCGATTTTCATTTTATTTTGCATTTCCAGACAATGGCTCTCCAGGCGTCGGGTAAGAAAGGAACCATCTACGTTCCAAACAATGTTGCAAAATCAAAGTTTGAAAATCTTGTTCTACACAAGGCCGATGTTCGGAAGTTTGGTGATGATTGCATGGTCACAGAAAGAGAAGCCATGAGAGCTGCAAAGGTTCAAATTTTTAAAGGTTTTTTTCAAAGGGTTGTCCAAATAGAATTTAAAATTAGTAATATTTAACATCTAAATTCTTAATTTCAGTAATAATTTGAATAGTTTCATTTACAAAATTATCATTTAAGCCTAACAGTATACCCATACAAGCCTTCATTTAATTTCTGAAACTAATAAACCAATCAAATCTCAGATTCCTTGCATTTCGAACTCATTGATTGCTGGATTCCTCGCTGCCGCAGGGTGGTCCATGTGACCGCTGGTCAGTTACGGCTTCCTCCACCATCAAGTCCATGCATCTGAAAATATGGACTGGTAACAGGATGAGAGGCCATGGTTCACTATATAGTTAGGCTGTTTTATAGGCTTCCCTTTCCCCTGGATAAATATGTAAATCCTATCCTATATGCTAGACTGGAAAATTGAACATTCTATTCTGTTCAGGAAGAAGGTGGTATCTATGTCTCACCATACAATGATCCGGATATAATTGCTGGACAAGGAACCATTGGGTTTGTCTTCATTTTTATTTTTTGACAGAAGTATGCCCATGGATCGTTTTGCTAAATTATAGTTCTGTTGTGAAAAAATCTGCAGGTAATAGATCAATCGATTTCAAATTACCAGTATTCTAAGATAGAAGAAAACATGAAAAGACTATTTCTCTCATTTATATTCGATCATCACTTAGTAAGATTTGATCCTGTGATCCTCATGCTTATATTTAACAGTGAGCTGGGGAGGCACATAGCTCAGTTTGCAATATTTCAAGTGCAGACATCTGAAACTAATAATCGGTTATTTGTTTCCGTACACGAAATAACTCAATAAAAAGGATGTTTTTCACCATATGATTAAGTCGTCTTATCAGCCATCTTCTCTTTGGAATCATAAAAAAAAATTACAATTTTGCAACTTTGCAGGCTCGAAATTCTACAAGATCTCAAAGATGTTGATGCTGTTTTTGTAACTGTTGGGGGAGGAGGACTGATAAGTGGAATCTCATGTTATTTGAAGCAAATGAAGCCGAACATCAAGGTAAACCAATCCAGCCTCTACGCAGTGACTGGATAATTTTGGGTACTCCTGAAGTATGTGGACCAAGATGGCGGACACAGGAACGTAGTATGTGTACTTGGTTAGGGTTAGACCATAATTTCAGATACAACTACAATGGGAGTCACTTAGCTAGACCCCAAACAAACTAAAATAAGAAAAATGGGCGCTCCTGAAGTATGCGAACCAAGATGGCGGACATCGGAATGTAATATTTGTACTAGGTAGGGTTTGGCCATAATATTAGGTATAAATACTACGGGAGGCTCTTGGCTAGTCTTCGAACTGATAATAGGACTAAAATAAGGAAAATTGGAAAAAAATTATGGCCTAACCCGAACCTGTTACCCATGCTACGTTCCGATGTCCGCCATCTTGGTTCGCATACTTCAAGAGCACCGAAAAATGAAATAAAATTATGGCCTGACCTTAACCTGGTACACATACTACGTTCGGATGTCCGCCATCTTGGCTTACATACTTCGGGAGTACCTAATTTAGAATATTCTGAATTTAAAATCAACTGGAAAATGCTCTAATACCAACTCAGTGCCTTACAACAACCTGCGAGCCATATGTGGCCCTCAAATAAAATTTTGTGGCCTGCGGAGAAGTGCAATTTTGAATAATGTACTACCGTGAAACAAGTTTTTACTTTGATTTGGTATGTGTGAGTAATTCCAATTCCTTTGCGTTGCGAAGCCTAGAGGCGCAGTTCTTACCACTTCATGGCAGCTCCTTCCACGAACGAACTGCGGCAGCTCCTGCCATATAGCGCTATTCAGTAATCAGTATTAACGGTATATTCACAAATTAATTTTTAGATTTTAATTGATCATGCGGAATTATATCTACTTAAACCCTAACCCCAAATTCATCAAAACTGTATCCATGAGAAAAACGTTCCAACTTACCCAATATTTGTCACCATGAGGGACAGCCCTGTCTTTACGGCCCACCTGCCGTGGTTACGGCAGCAAAATTTTACTTGCCATTGGATTTCAATTTGCTGGCCCTCCCTGCCAAACGGGATGCATTGCCTTTATGACTGTCTGAGGAAAATATCACTTTTTATTTGACGTGTTTGTACACCATTCGCTCCTAACAAGGCTCTTCATTAGCTATTACAGTTTTTGTCTGTTTTGCAGATAGTTGGTTGCAGTCCTGCCAACTCAAATGTGATGGAACAATCTGCTGAAGCCGGTAAACAAATCGAAATCGTAAATCTCGAAACATTATCTGATGGATCTGCAGGTTACTAACGTTTTCATTAATGCATAATGATTTCCATAATTTTAAAATTTCACTGCAATGGATTTCCTGGTGACAATAAAAAATGTAATTTTGTTGAACATAAATTGTTTTACCATAAGGGGATCTGAAATCAACTAGTCAAAGTAACACTATAAATATCACTGGAATAATAATCTAATAGTGCTAAAAGCTTCCGGGAAAGAGCCACAAGCCATAAAAGGTTGGGAACCACTGCTCTAGCATAAGATACCGTAGTCATTTCAGGTCTGCAGATGTAATTTTCATGCTTGTAAATTTTGTAAGACAGCCATATGTAGGCTTCATCATATGGCTTAAAATGACTCTTGACTCTTTTTGCAGTCAAATAGCCATATGGCTAAACAAGTTGTTCGAGAAGGAGAATGGTTTTAACCATCGGAATTTGCATGAACTACCCTGTGCTGGCAAATACAAACAACTCACACATATCTTTCTTCATAGAATGTGAACTTTTATGCTTTCACAGGGCGATTAGTGGTGCAATGCTCAGGTTACAGATAACACCTCCAGGTTGCGCATCCACCCCCCCTTTTGAAATGTAAAAAAAATAAAATCATTTTTCTGTATCATAGATAGCAATTTTCCGTAGCTTGAAATGCTTAAAATGCTCTCTCAAGACTACTAAAAACACGCGTATTCCAGCGTTCGATTCGACCCGCAGGCTGTTTCAATCTAACTTAGCAAATAAAAATTTCAGAACCCCCCCCCCTCCCCCTTTGAAAAATTCTGTCTACGCCCCTGCATCCTCTGACGAGTTGATAACATTTTAACATTCATCTACTTTATTATTTGTAAACTTATCTAGCAATTGACTATATGTCTTTCAGGTAACATTGACATTCCCAGCATAACGTTCCCAATATGTCAACGTAACGTGGATCGCTGGGTGAACGTTACTGAGGACGAGATTGCTGATGCCATGTATTTGATGTTGGATGTACACCATAAGGTAGGAAAGCAATACGCACATATTTCTAATTCTTATCTTACCTTTGGTAAAGATTGATCCTCATGCTTTTTGATGAATCTGTTCGGGATTGTTGAACTTTATAATAAGCTTGTATGTCAATGTCATGCATTATAGCATATATGTGTGAATTGGGCTCTCAAGATTTCTAAACATAGTTTCATTATGACCTAGACCAAGGCTACTCAACTATTTTTACCGAAGATCCGCATACAAAACTTTAGAAATATTTGGGTCCAGTCTTTCCCGAAATTATATTTCGGCATCCTCGAACATGCGTTTCCTCGGCCGGCTAATGATTATCATCTAATCAAGATTGTTTATTATGGCGTTATAGTTCTTTCCCTATATATTTAAATCTATAAAAAGTAATTTTATAAAATGAAACTTCAAATGGTCTAATGGGGCTAATGATCCAAAATAAAGAATAAGACGTTGTCCGAATCGAATAACCAAAAGGTCCGGATTCGGACCGCGGTCCGCCAGTTGAGTGGCCTCGACCTAGACTTTAATGGTCATGTGCTTATTGATCACTAGTTGAAGCTGGAACCCCATGGCCGACTTATCATCCGGAAGAAGATGAAAAATTCTAATCTGGGCAGGTAAAATGGTTAACTCATCCCATACCTGAGCTGGAATGGTATTTCAAATACTAAAAAACAAGAGATCATCCATCTCCCTTGAGTAGAGCTGCGTAGCGGATGGAAATTTACATCCAGAGCTTTTTAAAAGCCAACTTCTGGCGAGAAATTTGGCTTCGATAAAAACAAATTTTGATAGTCTTCTAGAATTGCCAGTTGAAAATGCTTAGTCACAGTAATATTTTTCTGTTTCTATCTGAAATTCAAACTACTTCAAAATTTTAACTCCTACATAGACGAGTTTAAAAATACGTCTCAATAATAAATAAACGAGAATATCGGTCAGAGACCAAAGACTTATCGATCGAAAGTTAGGGGATCCCCCAAAACAGAAACTGTAATTCGAAAAATTCTGCAAACCCAAACTGGATTGTTTTGATTAGTTTTCAGTCAATATCAAAAATGTAGAAAACAATAGCCAACTTCCCACGTCGTCATCGAAATACTACTCGAGGAAATACTTTTATGAAGAATTCTACAAATCCGAACTGGATTGTTTCGATTAGTATCCAGCCAATAGCCTATTTACCAATACTATATTTTGTGTCAAATACAACGGCACTAACCCGGGTTGCGACGGGACGGCTATCCAAACACTGCGATATTTTGGTGAGGAATTCTGCAACCCTGAACCTGATAGAGGGATATGGACATTGCTTAAAGAGTAATTATAAGTAACGAGATACGATCTCGCGGTGTGTATCCTTCGCTCTGACTCACTAGCGTGAAAACTTGCGCACACACACACACACATTTAGCGCGTCTCAAACATCTCTCGCTTTGTAAAAATCGTTCTCTCGATTTGCAAAATCCAGATCTCTTCATCACTAATTAGTTAATAACTCGATAATAATAAGACATAATTTATCCAAAATCAATAGGCTTCTGGTCTGAGATATGATGAATGCACATGCAAAATTTGGAGCAAATTCAACCACGCCTCCATGATATCGCGTGCATCTAACAGACAGACAGACAAATACTTATCAACATACTTACCGATCTAATGATTGATAAGTAAAATCACTCCAAATTCATACTCCACAACTCTAATCCCAAGATAAATATCGAAAATTCAAGATCCTAGTTATCTATTTTAACAAAATCATTGTCTTTACTTGGCGCTCCAGAAGTATGTGTATCAATATATAGAGTAGTGGATATATATATATGTAACTAATTTTTTCGCCTACTTTACATCAAGTTGTGTAAAGGGACGGAAACCTGTGGGCAGATGGTATTGTATATTCACTTATCTAACACAAACAGTCCGCGAACTCGTAATAGAACTAAAATAAGGAAAATCGGAATAAAATGATGGACTAACCCTAACCTGGTACACACAGTGCAGGAGTACCAACATTGTCAAACTCAGATACCACAACACTATTCCTAAGATAAATACGAAAAATCCAGGATCTAACTAAATTACTGTTTTTACTTCGCTGAATTAAGCTATATCAAACCTATATATATTTTTACTCCCCTTCAGGTAATTGAAGGAGCAGCAGGTGTCGCCCTTGCATCATTCTTGAAGGTCAAAGCTGATTTTCAAGGTCAAAATGTAGCTGTTGTTATATGCGGTAGCGGAGTTGGCATAGCAACCATAAAGAAAATCATCGACACACATTGGAAAGAATAAAATGCAGGATATTGGGGGTTTTAACACATTTGTGTTTTAGGCCAGTATGGTGCTAGTGTGTAATCCAATATTAGTAATAATAATTGTTAGCTTCTATTATATTTTTAGCTATATATTTTACCATCACGGGACTAAAAAAAATATACAAGGTGTCCAATAAAATTTCGACCGATTTTACAGTAATAGCAATTAAATTTTTTTTTTATTCATCAATAGTTCTTATTGTGCTTGTAGTTCTCATTTATCATACAATAAAATTTATTGGGTACTCCTGAAGTATGCGAACCAAGATGGCGGATATCGGAACGTAGTATGTGTACCAGGATAGGGTTAGGCCATAATGAACTGTAATAGAACTAAAATTGGAATAAAATTATGGCCTAACCCAAACCTGGTATACATACTACATTCCAATGTCCGCCATCTTGGTTCACATACTTCGGGAGTACCTTGAATTGGTATTACTATAAAATTGTGCGAAATTTTTTGACAACCATGTAGATAAATATTTGAATATGTTCGAAATTATTTCAATTTGTAATATCAGTAATATTATTATTTTGGAAACGTGATTTTAAGCAATAATTTTAATTTGTAAATTTAAAAAAAAAATAATTTCTGTATTCAGAAGATCTCTTATGCCTCTATGAATGTGCTATCAGATTTTAATGCCTCTAGAATAATTTTTAAAAACCTCATTTTAATTGTTTACAATCTTGTTCATTCAATAATGACAATTCTGTATCGAATTAATTTTTGTGTGACTGTTATGTGGCTTGACTACCATGCAGTTTTAGTATCTTGTCATCAAGTAATTGCTTCTAAAGGAGTATTCTCTTTGTTTTCAATTTGAAGATCGCTAGAGGAGTCTGTAATTCTTTAATAATGTGTTCAAAAGGTCTAATATACCTCCTAAATGTGCTACAGCAATTATATTCAAAATAATTAATTCCATAATAATTTAATGATTACAATTCTGTATCAAAATAATCTCTGTGGAGCTGTAATATCTGTTTGACTCTCGGCTACCACCAGGTGGTTTTTGTATCCACTGTTATAATCCTGATATTTTGCTTTGCTAAAGCTTATTTAATTTGTTTTAATTAATGAAGTTCAAGTAAAATTTTCTGTTATAATATGCAATAAATGGTACTGGTATAATCGTGAAAATAAATTTTTCGAGGATAAAACTTTGGGGGTTTTTGGCCATTTTATTCATAAGTATAATAAGTATAAGTTTATTTCGACTCTATAATCAGCAATAGACGATAAAAAAATAGATAAAAACAAAAGTAAAAGTAACTGATTATAGAATCGGGAAAGCGAACAAAACCTAGAGTAAGGTTTGAAACGTACAGATTTTAGATGGAAAGGTATTGATAAAAGAAGTAGTACGTGTTCGCTCACCCCATGGTCATCATGTTGCGTTTGCATAGAAAGATGGCCAACTGACTTATTCAATGGCAGCAACACAGAGTATTTATTAGCACTGTCGTTCCTAACCTTAAATTATCGATGAATAGTTTTTATTTTATAATTTAGACTTATTTAGGGTTTTTGCAAAAATATTCGGTTTGGATCAAAAAAATACTTGATTTTGGACAGCTCTATCATATGCTGTATCGTACTTGGCGTGGCTTTATTGGACACGTTTAGTGGCCATAACGATCGTTTCAAAATTTTGTTGTTATTGTTATTTGTCTCCGTCTCCATTTTTGAAAAAATCGCTTTTCTCTTCGAATACTGGACCAATTGCTTTGATATTTTCAGTGGTTGAAGATAAAAAAAAATTCGCTATGACGTCATCAAAATTATTGCCACTGGGTGGCGCTACGTGTCCATATATTTGAGCATAGCTCTCTTGTTTGTTTATATAAGGTGCATGCGGTCGCTGTGTAAAGTTTTTTTCGTTAAGATAGCGTCACGATTTGAGCCGCTCGAAAACGGGGTGTCAATTTCAACGGCGCGATTGAATATGATAACAGATTTAGATATATAAGGACTCGCTATAGAAAGCATAATATGACGCAATTTAGTCGAGACATAAACGATTAAAAATCTCATCCGGAGTTGCAAGGCATACGAAGTTACCCGGTTTTACTTTTACGGTACACGGCAAGCACACTGATCAAAATGACACGGCGGAAACCCAAACCACCTTCTGAAAATGATCCGACAGATCCACTGAAAATCCTAATCTTTAAAATAGAAAGTACAAAAAACGCATGGTAATATAATCAAACATAGAAAAATTCCCACTTCCTAACGTGTTGATAGCTATTGGTATTTTATACATATACGGTTGTAATCTTGTTCGACTTTTTCTTCATGTTCTGTTAGACTATTTTGGGTACCACTGCTCAGTGCTCGATAACCATTTTTTTGGTTTCCCGTGTGTCCCCCTTCACCCTGGAATGCTATTTTTTCATACATAATTTATTATAATTTGTGAGTGTGCACTTTCGGCATGGTGAAAAAATAAATTACTGATTATTGCCTCTTCAAAGAATCCTTCATGTATGCTTGTCGATGACTTTCTTCAAAATATTTGGACTAACGTTACTTCCGCATATGACAATAGCAACATTTTGACCTTTGAAATCGTTTTTGACCTTGAGAAAGGATGCCAGAACACACCCCGCTGCTCCCTCGACAGCCTAGATAAAAGTAGATTTTAATAATTTTATGAATACTTATATTCACTATGGAGTTTGATAATTAGATATCATTCTACGATCTCACGAATAAAAAAAAACGGAACACAGAAACAATTGTACCGAGATATCAGCATAGTAACGGAAATTATATGTGCGTATTGCTTTTCTACCTTATGGTGTACATCCAACATCAAATACATGGCATCAGCAATCTCATCCTCAGTAACGTTCACCCAGCGATCAACGTTACGTTGACAAATTGGAAAAGTTACGCTGTCAAGACCGATGTTACCTGCACGTGCAGAAATGATTGTTTTGAATTACATGGTTAAGGGAAAAACATAAATTCCATAATTATTCCCGCAAAAATGAAGGAAATTCATTGAACACTTAAACTTGTGTATGATTGTAGGCATAGGATAGGATTTACATATTTATCCCGGAGAAGAGGAAACCTTAACCATATGGCACCACGGCCTCCCGTCCGGTTACCAGTCCATGTCTTCATGTCGGGTATGGGATTAATTAGTTATTTGTTTCGAAAGCATGGACTTTTGTAGGAAAAGCACTGTTGTGTTACACATAAACGTCTCCCATTTCAATTTAAAAGGTAGAAGTGTATTGCATTCAATTATTTACTTCAATTTGCTGTTTTTGGTAAATTGCTTTCAAAGTACTGCCCGATTGTAAATCGCGTTTTCTGTCTTTGTTTTATTCCTTTTTGGTGGGCGGGCAGGTACATTGTACGCTTTTTTTTTTAACTTTTTCTAAGTTACGTTCGTCTCCCAGGTATCTCTGCATTTTGTTTTGTCTGTTTACTTTTTGTGTTGTTTATGTCAGAGAACCAAAATAAATGATTGATTGATTGTACCCAAAAATTTCAGTAATATAGGATGCTTTACACCCCAATATTATGTTCTAGAACAGTGGTCAGCAGACTTTATGTACTACTGGACCAAATAAGAACATTGACGGTGGCGTGCGATACACATTAGTTTCCGCCTATATAAACAGGCATATACTTCCACATATGCTAATTAGTACAAAACTATAAATGACCTGGGTCTTGTTTTTGTGGCCAAGGTAATTTTACCTGTTATTGAAAGCGACGGCTTGATTTCGATGTCAATTGGTTTTCCAGCCTTGATTGATTCTTCCATTCCATTTGAATGTTTTGGGCCGCATCCCACAATCTGAAAACGGAGAAAAAAGACCAGCTAAAGATCTCGATCACCCTGCTCTAAGGAAGAACCTAAATAGAAGGGACATTCGATAGTCTCGCATCTTGAGCGATTAAGTCAGTCGATATCTCATTTTATTTTGGTATTTTTGGCATATATATATCAAAATAAATTACCAATAAAAAACGATTGGTCAGTTACCTGGAGGGCGATCATAACCTAGGTAACGTAACATAGGATAAAGTTTAAAATTGTACAAGTGCGGCTATCCACCAAAACAGTGAAAATTACCAAAAATAAACTAATAAATCCTCGGAAATAACATGCAAAGAAATTTGAGATGGGGAATACTGAACAAATTAAGAACAGTGGAACACTTTACACATATGTTTAGCCGTCAGCTACATAAACTGGTATTCGTATGGGTGACCGCAAGGTCGTGTGATCAAGTCCATGCTCCCGAAAATAAATAACTGGCTTACTAATCCCACACCCGACATGGACTGGTCGACAGGCCGTGGTTTGCCATATGATTAAACCGTCTTATCGGCCGTCCTCTCCCCTGTCCTGATAAATCTGTCCTTCTGGACCTCGTGATAAATATAAAAAATGATGTACCGTATTTTGAAATAAATTGATTTATTACTCAAGAGCAATCGGGAATTTTACCTGAATTTTCGAATGAACGTGTTTCGCGTAAGAAGATATTCCGCTGATCATTCCACCACCTCCGACGTACACGAATATGGCATCAACGTTCGGTAGATCTCGGAAAATTTCGTACCTGAATGTTTGAATAATTCGGGAAAGTGATGCAAATCACCCTTAAACTATTGACGGTTGGAATATGGCAGGGCTACTCATCTGGCGGACCGCGGTCCGAATCCGGACCTTTCGATCATTCAATATGGACCTCGTCTGCAGCATAATCATCTTTTTATAGTTTTTAATGATTTTGATACTATGAACATACACGGCTATACATATAGCCGTGCTGGTACCGGTGTGCGACATTTGTGTCGTATTTGTGAGCCATTCATTGGTCTGGTATTTAATTTATTAATGCATTAGTTTATTTAATAAAATAAATTGAAATCTGCGGACCCAAGTAATTTTGAAGTTTTGTAAACGAACCTTTAGTCAAAATAGTTGAGTAGCCCTGGCGTTTGGTACAAAACGTTTGAAAGTTGCTTGAAGGGCTAAGGAGGCGAAGCTAGTTCTGACATTGCAGTTAGAATAATAGCCTTTTAGACTCACGGGAGTCGAGGCCGAGGTAGAAATTTATATTCGGGAAATTATACATCACTGTTTCTTGAATCTATATATCTGTATACTGTGTCGCAAACCTTGTTACCGATAGTTTGATGGACCGTCCAACGTGTTTTTACACAAATAAAAAAAGGAAAACATGTTCTGTAACTGTGCGCACCATTCCGAAAGACCATTTCACATAAGACACAAATATTTGCCCACACTTTCAAAGGCTGTAGTAAAAAAATGTCAATATAAATTCAAATTTATAGGAATAACACTCACGCGATTGTGCCTTGTCCGGCAATCACATCCGGGTTTTTACAGGGGGAGACATATATGCAACCTTCTTTCTAAATATAAGTTGTTCAGTGTGATAAAAACATGTGGCGTCCATGAAAATTGTTCATATAGATAGGTGGCCATTTTCAAACGGTGCAATCACGCTGACTTTTACTATTTTTTCTGGCTATAAAAATCTTTAGTTTTAACTGTTCGTCAACAACTACAATCGAAAAACGTTTATGGACACGAAATATATGTATGTTTTTTTTTTTTGGCGCTCCCGAAGCTGGTGCTCAACCTGTGAACCCTAACCTGGTACACATACTATACTCAGGTTGTGCGCCATCTTGGTGCACATAGTTCTGTAGCTCCGTTTTTCTTTATACGTCGAGCCTTTTGCTCAACAAGGTCTTGGACAAGCATATACTGTTCGCTTGTGTGTGACTACCAACTCGGGCTGGGTCATCGAATAGTAATTATTTGGTTCAGGCGAAAATTTCGAATCGTCGTCATGTTTTTTATTTGTCCACCTAAAGGTCGAGGTGAATTCCTTAATTTTTATTTTTATTGAAGGCACAATTTTACAATACAATTCTGACCTATGACTCTTTTCTTGCTAAAAAAAAAGTCAAATACAGTTACATATCTTCCGAGTATTCGAGATTCGATTCGAAAAAATAATCGATTCGATTCTGAAATTATCAGGTATATATTTTAAAATGCCAAGACCTGCTTTTAACCGTTCGTCATTTAATTCTTGACGTTTTGTAACTAACTATTCCAGGGTTGTCGTTTCCGGTGGCCACAAAATTATTTTTGCAATGTTCGCGGGCCACAATAGTGTCAAGAATAGGTAAGCAGTACAATACAAAACGAACACTTTTATTGTGCAAACACATTGGTCAGTATTTGCCATTTATCAAGCCAACCTAAGCTAACAGAATCCGCATTCGATTTTTAGTTTTATAGGATGCCGAATTGTTAGCATATATTCCCGACCAAAAAGATAGAAAGCCAGATAATAATTTAAACTGCCAAGCACCTTATTCAACTTCGCTAGTTGCCTCGGCTAGCCATAACACTAGTATAGTCAATTCGGTGGCATTAGTGATGTAACAATATATATGTCAAAACAATTTTCTGGTTAATTTTATGACGAAACAACACCAAATGCGATTTCTTGATTACTCTTCGAATGCGACGCGGGCCACAGGTAATGTAGCTGCGGGCCACATGGCCTGGGTTCGGACCACCCTGATCTATTCCATAAAAATACAAATTTTCAGCCGACTCCGGAAATGAATATACCTGCAATGGTACTCCTGAAGTATGCGCATCAAGATGTCGCATAATCTGAACCCTAACCTGGTACACAACCTGAGTTCAGGTTGTGCGCCATCTTGGTGCGCATACTTCAGGAGGTCCCCTGCAATATATACTGACTAACCTTTGCCGCCTGTTCCGCTAATTCCATCGTTACTGTCATGTCGCTCCCTTTCATCTTAATTTCAGCGCCAAGTCGTTGCAGGTGATCAAGCTTCACCTGTGCTGTGCTAGTTGGGACGTAAACGACGCACTTATCTTGACTAGATTTGAGAGCGTACAGCTGTGAAAAAATATTTGTGGATCAAGAGTTGTGAATTTTTTAACCATCTTTTTATTTATTTATACTAATAATTAGGAAATCAAAAATACCCGGACAACATAACCTATCTTTGTCTTTGGGTTGGCAAAACTTTAACAGTGGCACCAGCATGTGACTCACGAATTTTTTAGAACAAACAACCCTTTCCTAATCGTCTTCTTACAATATTCATATCATGATAATAGAAATTACCAAAGCTATTCCATGATTTCCAGTAGAGGCAGCAACGAATTTTTTTGGGCATATATCTTTTTTCTCTTCCCCGTTGCTTTCGGACATCTTGAGCACAGTATTGAAAGCTCCCCTCGCTTTTATTGTGCCGCTGACTTGATCGGACTCTGAACAAAAGAGCACTTTGAAACATCAGACGAGTGTAAAATTTTGACTTGTTGTTTTAAAATATGACTCCGACATCGCCAAGCCAACCCTTGACGACAGAGTCCGGTCATGTAATTACTAACCGAGCCGACGTTGCTTGACTTCCGAGATGATAAGTAATTAACGTGATTTGGTTCGCCATATTCTTTACTATTGCAAAATTTTTGTGCTCATTTTGAGAATGTTTTAACGAGTTGGTGCTTACAAACTGATTTACCTGTTCCGAACCATCATTTTTAATAAAAGTATTTTACCACGTGCCGCTTACAGGTATTAATAGCTAATTTTGGACTAGTCTTTCGCAGCGTTCGCGAGTCTAAATTTTGATTATTGCAACTAAATTGAACTTTTTGAAAGACATAATGACAATTAAATTATTTGACTTAAAACAAAGTTTTTGAAAACACCACTGAAAACTGACAAATACCACACAAAATCACGAAAACGAGGCGTTGCTTATAATCATGCCAATAAAAATTTGCATCAAACGTTGCCTGTGTACCGTATTTCAAATACACATTCACTCCTGTTTCTTTTGATAAATAATCAGAAAATTCCAGAGGGGTTCTCCAGACGTGTCCTTTTATCCTTTCACGCGCTTTTAGTACTTCTTTATATATACTTTCATTGCTCGAAAAATCCATCTTAAACAGAATTATGTTTTTGTAGTAATATATATTTTTATAATCAAATGATCTGAATCAATTCAACAGATTAGTAGGCCTACCTCGTGAATCGGTTAGTTTTTGGGATTACAACTTCGTATCGTTAATAAATAGTGATTTCTCGGAAAATCTGTTACGTGAATTTATACTGCAGTTGAAGGTAAATTTGATAACCCGACAGACGATTTTTATATAAAACATAAATAACCCGGTAGCGTGATTAAACATATGTTTGGGTCGGCTCTCTTCCAACCCTCTCTCTCTCTCTCTCTCTCTCTCTCTCTCTCTGGATAGATATAAAATCAAATCCTTATATTTTAAGTTTTCATTGACTCTGCCGGCCCCAAATATATCTATCATTGTTATACTTCACAATGATAATTATTATGAATGACAATTGAGCGCCAATAACATTATCTGTTTAGAATGGATTTTCCGAGCAGTGAAAGTATATATAGAGCAGTGCTTAAAGTTCGTGAATGGATAAACAGGTTACGTCTATAGACATGACCTTAATCGATGAATTGTTGTCGGTGGTTTTTGTGACAATTAATATTCGTAGAATTACTTGCAGTACGTGAGAAGTAATCATGACGGTTCAAGTACACAATCCAATTAGTACGATATACCGTGTTTCCCCCAAAATAAGACAGGTATTATTTCAATTTTCTTTCCGAAAATAACACTAGAGCTTATTTTGGGGGGGTGTATTTTATTTTTATTTATCAAAAATGAAATTACAAAGTAGAGAATTACGAGATATTCGAATAGACAAAATATGAAAACCGATATCAATTTACTAATAAATAACACGTTTTTATTCAAAACAACTGCTAAACATAGATTACTAATCACATAATCAACGCGTGGGAGAGATTTCTGGCTATTGGCTAGGACTCAGGGTTCCGCAACTACTTTTCAGCGCGACCAAAAAAAAAATTTTCTAATTTTTTGCGACCCAAGCATTTGGTAAGCTTAAGTAAGTAAAAGTATCTGAGCGCTTCCAAAACTTTTATTATTACCGGTACGTCAAATTTTGCACTTATACTGATTGACCAATGTTTCTGCAGTAAATAAGGAAGTGTATACTCGGGGAAACATCCATAATTATAATCAGAAATTTATGAAGTTTTTATATATAATACGCTACACAGACGCGATGCTCATATTTATGACAAATTTAAATTGTTTTGCAACCCAGAGTGGAGTGCTTCGCGACTCAAATTTGGGTCGCGACCCCGTAGTTGCGGACCCCTGGGCTAGGTCTTATTTTAAGAGGAGGGTTCTATTAAAATCATTTTTTAAATTCGGGGTAGGTCTTATTTTCGGGGAAACACAGTCCATATAATAGCTATTCTACGTGACAATTTTAATTAAATTAAGTCACGTGATCCGAATCGAGAACGAATGATAAGTACTCTTTCGACATCAGGTCATCAAAACGTAGACTACCTAATATTTATAATGACAATTTTGAGCACATTAATATTTGTGTGTTTCCTCTGCTTTTTATGACTTCATTATTTTTAGCAATTATGGAACTTTGGAGGAAATATCTTTCTCCTTCAAGAAGACCGGCTTCACGGCCAAAAAAATCACGCGATTTCCTTTCCAAATCGAGTTTTGTTTCAACTATTTATAGCAAGGCTTGTCTGCGTCGCAGTTACATCAAAATACATTGTCGAGAAAAGCTCAGCATTCATTTTGCTACACTCTTACGTAATATAGATCGTCTGTGCCACCCTTTTTCGTCTTTTCTGCTTGATTTAAAAGTTGTACAGCTCATGTTGGTTATATTGACTTGCTAACTTACTGTTATAAATTGATTTCGAAAGAAATATAAGCGATTAGGAAAGGTAACAAGAGAGAAGAGTACAAAATGAACTATTGCTTGCGTGATTGGGATGCCATTCCCCAAAAATTTTTGTGTCCTAAAAACTTTGCGACTGCATTTCTCTACAATTTTACATATTTTCATCTACACATGCTTTCGAATCTTTGTTCGCAGTTATGAACTTCATTAAGTCTCGTAATAGGAGTAACCTGTAAGATGAAGCCAGTACCGGTAGTCCGTGTATTTATTTGAAAGTCAGAAAATATAAACCCAATATAAGATATCTATCAGCGGTAATGCAGCAGTGTAGAAGTTTCACTGATATAGAATGAAAAAAAAATTAATCAAGTCTATTTGTTGGACTGATATTTTCCCGAATAGTGAATCTGTCTGTACAGGTTTAAAAGGTTTATTATTGTGCATTTTTGCTTTGAAAGTAGCAAAGGTATGTTTTGAATTTTGGTCGGCACGCGGAAGAATTTTGTCGTTAAATTTATCCGATTTTGGCACGCGAGTCGAAAAAGGTTGCCCACCTCTGTCCTTCATGAATTATTACAATATTTGACTATTTTACTTCTGCATAACTTGTGTGATATTTTCATTGCAAAATAATCTGAATATCTGAACAAACTCAAAAACTGGCTTAGACAAAAAAATCATTCCTGCTAAGAATAAGCCTGCGTAAATTGTTTTGTATAGATTAAAAGTGGCCTTTTGGTAAAATTCCCTATTTATCGAGCATTATCCCAGTGCGTATAAGGGTGCCGAGCTTACTGGCACGCTGGGCCCGGGTATATGACGTAATGAGGCCCTTTTTCCTAATTTATTCCCGATGCTATTCATGGTCGGTGCTTTTTGTTGATTTTTCGTCAACTTTAGACTGTTTTCAGCGTGACCCGAACTCACTTCGTTTCAAGGTTGTTGATTACCAATGTACAAATATAACTTCCGCATGTTTATCTAATCGTGAAACCGTACTGCACAATGTTGTAGCTGATAATTTATGCAATTTATGAGGTTTGTTTCCAAACACGCATCCCGCTGAGCGTTAGAAATATGCTTCTGCTCAAGTTTGCATGTTCGAATCCTGTGAGATGTACGAGAGGATTTCTGGACTCCCCGTCGCTGTAGGGTCGTTGACTTCCTCCACCATCAAGTCCATGCATCGAAAAAGAAACGAGAATATCGGTTGGAAACCGAAGACTTATCGATCGATAGTTAGGGGATCCCCCAGAACAGAAACTGCAGTTTCGATTCATCCGCTCTTGTAACTTGCGCACTGCGCATCGCACACACACACTCGGCGGGTCTCAAAATTCTCTCGCTTTACAAAAATCTAGATCACTATATCAATAATTGATTGATAACTCGCTAATTATACGACATAATTCGCCCAAAATCAATACGCTTCTGGTCCGAGATAAGATGAATGCACATGCAAAATCTGGAGCAGATTCAATCTCGCTTTCGTGAGATATCGCGTGCATCTAACAAACATACAGACAAATACCTATCAACATACTTACCGATTAAAATCGATAAGTAATAACTGACTAACCAATCTCATATCAGACATGGACTTGAAACCGGGCGAGAGGCTGTGGTTCACCATATGATTGAGTGATCTTATCGGCGTTCCTGGCTCAGAGAATAAACATGTAAATCCTATCCTATCGTGGTCTCAATGTATTATCTATAAGAGTAATTACTTATCGATCTTAAGATCGGTAAGTATGTTGATAGGTATTTGTCTGTTTGTTTGTCTGTCTGTTAGATGCACGCGATATCTCACGAAAGCGAGGTTGAATCTGCTCCAGATTTTGCATGTGCATTCATCATAGCTCGGACCAGAAGCCTATTGATTTTCAATGAATTATGTCGTATAATTAGCGAGCTTTTAATTAATTACTGATGGGACACACGGTGTCACTATGGAGTAAGAGCGCTGTTTTGGGGATCACCTAACCTCCGATCGATAAGTCTTCGGTCTCCGTTTAGTTATATAGGGTAAGCCTGGCGTTCTAACCTTACGACACGGAGTGCTCCTCACCTCAGGAAAGGTTGTACCTGTCTCTTTCAAACGTTTCAAAGCTTTATATACGCCAGATCTGCTAACTCTACCCTTCAAAAGCTTGCCAATTTGACTTGGGAACTGTCCCGATTTAAACAGTCCATGAATCGCTGCCCCTACAGATGTCATAGTAAACTAAATTATTACAAATAGTCTGTTCTGGTTCAAACACTGTTTTTTTCACGGAACACTGTCGTCCTTCCTATCTTTATTTTCGATTGGAAAAAAACAATTCATTGTTCAGGAAACGTTTACGGGTAAAATACATGCAGTAAGTATAGGCTGAGAGGGCTACGGCCATTAAAGTTCCGGCCGGATCCGGCCCGCGGAGTAATATAATCGGGCACGCGACGCTTCACTGAATTATAGTAACAAATCTGTTTTGACGATTATATTCGTTACGTAACAGAATTATAGTGACACACGTGTAGTCTAAATTATATTATAATCTAACAAGTATAAAATCACTCGTTTAATGAGCCTATAATTTAATTATAATTAAACAAATGGCAACAAAACGCAGAAAAGTTGATGCTAAGCGCAAAGGGTGCAATAGCACCGAAAATATTCAAATGGAATTTTTTGGGATGCAATGCAATGCGGAAATAAATCTATATTCTATTCGAGAGATGTATCACTGCTTGATTTTTATTATAAAAGGTATCATCCATTCGGTCTTCAAATTTCTAAAAATATGTGCGGCCCGCCAATGACTTGCAACCCTTAATTTTGGCCCGCGAGAGACAAAAAGTTGCCGACTCCTGACATAGAGAGTGCTATCAGTAACCGCTGTTTCTCAGTTCAGCTTGTATTCCCAAGTATTTAGCTATGTGTCTATCGCTTGGAATTGAATTAAACCACCGATATCATTTTGTCATCTTGCATAATATTTGATGATTCTCGCCTTCTCACTTTATTGTCATCCGAATCCTTTATAAGTTCCTGTCGATAATCTTCTTCAAAATGTCGGGACTAACGTTACTTCCGCATATGACGATTGCGACATTTTGACCTTTGAAATCACCCTTGACCTTCAAGAATGACGCCAGAGCGCATCCCGCCGCTCCTTCAACAACCTTGACGAAAAGAGAATATTTTTAGTAGAATTCGTTCTAAAACAGGTGACTCACTGAGAAGTAAACGAGACTCATCTCTGAGTAAAGTCATCGCCCACTACTAATCGGAAAAGTAGGTAATTTGGAATTTACCATAACCCAAGTTCTTGAAAAAAAACTTGGCCGCTGAGGCAGCTGACAGTAAACGGATGAGAGTAACTGATAAACACTATCAGTGCTCAACATGAGCTGGTAACCGCAGAGAGGCCGTGGTATGCCACGTTATTAAACATATTTGGGTGCTCCCGAAGTATGCGAACCAAGATGGTGGACATCGGAACGTAACATGGGTAACAGGCAGTGTTCCCTCTAAGGTGTGCGCGTGTGCGCGCGCACACAGCTTTCAGAGGCTGCGCACACGCATAGATTTACTGCGCACAGACGTATTTCGATGTAATGTAACAATGTGCTCGGTTGGCAGGTTGAGAAAGTTTGTTGTTGGCCCCCCTATTACCCGGTTAGAACGCCAAAATTTCTTCATTGGTTTTTGCACAAATATTAGTCATTTCTAAAAAAGTGCGCACACACCAAAATTTCTGCGCACACATACTACAAACAATTAGAGGGAACATTGGTAACAGGTTAGGGTTAGGCGATAATTTTTTTCCAATTTTCCTTATTTTAGTCCTATTATCAGTTCGAAGACTAGCCAAGAGCCTCCCGTAGTATTTATACCTAAAATTATGCCCTAACCCTAACCTAGTACACATATTACATTCCGATGTCCGCCATCTTGGTTCGCATACTTCGGGAGCCCCCATATTTTAATTCAATATACAATTCAAATTTGGTTTTTGGACTTTAATATGCTTAATTTATATGTTGTTCGTCTTATTTCAATTTCTTTTTTACGTATTTATTTATTTATTTTTTGGTCACAATATAATTTATTTGAAGCTCCTCTTTTTTTTTTTATAATTTCATAAATGCCCTATAGCTGAGTGTATGTGTATGAATTGATTCAATAGTTTTAGATGTGTGAATACGTACCACTTCTTTCTGTCAATACCTTCCATCTTATATTCTGCACGTTTTAAACCTTATCTAAAGTTTTGTTTACTCTCCTGATTTCATAATCGAGTCGAAATAAACTTATCTTATTTATATTAAACCTGTATCAAAGTTAGACTTTTATCAGAGGTGTCGCTGCTCGATAACCAACATTGGTTTTTCGCGTCACCTTTCATCATGAAATGTCATTTTCAATTTTTGTTTGCATCAAGTGCATTTTCATTTTGGTGAAAAATAAAGTACTGACTGACTGATTAAACCGTTTCGTAGACCGTCCCTGAGATAAATAGAATAGGATATGCATATTTATCCTTGGGGAAGACGGATTAAACAAATGGCAAACCACAGCCTATCGTCCGGTTACCAGTTAATTTTGGGTTTCGGATTAGTTAGCCAGTTATTAGTTTCAGATGCATGGTGAAGGAAGCTGTAACCTGCGAACCCACGGTAATTAGAGGTGCGGTGACGAGCGTACTCCCAACGCTTGGCATGATAGGCACAGCGCCGAGCCTATGAAAATCCTATCCTATTTGACGGGACCCTACCCCACCTTATGATGTATATCCAACATCAAATACATGGCATCAGCAATCTCGTCCTCAGTAACGTTCACCCAGCGATCCACATTACGTTGACAAATTGGAAAAGTTATGCTGTCGAGACCGATGTTACCTGTGTAGAGAGAGATAGAAGGATTGTCAAACCAAGAAAACACATAAATTTACATAAATAAATGATAAACAAACACATGCTTTCGGTATATGACTGGATGTGGCAACGATGCGACCGTTTGGGGTCATCAGAGCCAGTTGCTAGTCGTAGGATGAATAAGCCGGGCTGTGGCTGTGCGATTTTGTTGGAGATAGAGACATATTTTCGAAATCCCATGGGTCGGTGTCGTAATTTTGAATTCGACTACAGCAAACACAAATCAAAATTTACCTAACCAGCCGCATAGGACCAAAGCGCATCCATAGGCTCCGTGGTTATTCTATTTCTAAGTTGATAAATTCAACCATTATAAATTATAATACTTAGTCGAAAGATGAAAGGTTTAGTTTTTGTTTAGTATTCTTATCTCGACCCTGACTGGGAGTCTAGGGCTGGGCATTTCGAATCGAATATTCGAATCGAATAGTAAATTATTCGAATCGATTCAGACTGGAATTTCGAATCGCCGCCATCTTGTTTTTAACTTTCCGCCAATGGTCGAGGTGAATTCCCCAATTTTTTTTTCATTGAAGTCATATTTTTTTAACGAAATTCTAACATATGACTATTTTCTGTAGTGAGTTATTGATAAAACGTGTTGTTATTCTGTGTGAACGCTTAGTAATCTATCTGAGTGATTTATTCTATGTCTTCAGTAATTCATTTGTTGAGAGGACTAATTACTATGATAAAGTCGCTTACAATTTTATATTTTCAAGAGATTCGATTCGATTCGAAAAAATTATTCGATTCGATTCTGAAATCACAAGGTATTCGAAAATGCCCAGGCCTGACTGGGACCCGCGATTCGTTTCGCAAAAAGCTCCGCAATTGTAAGAGCCGATCCTGTTGCTTATCCTACCTGGAGCTGAAAGCGAATGTTTGATCTCAATATTGATGGGTTTTCCTGCTTTTATTGATTCTTCCATTCCGTTTGAATTTATCGGAGCACAGCCGATTATCTAGAAATCGAGAAAGCAATGCTAAAATATGTATATATGATCACTTACAGCGAAATGTCGGCAAAAGTCTTCTCAAGTGCTGAACGAACTGTACCGAATTTCATATTATGGTATTTCCGCGAATTGGGAAACAGGCACAAGAAAGCATAATTTTTGGTAAAATATTGGGTACTCCTAAAGTATGTAAACCAAGATGGCGGACACCGGAACGCCAGTCTGGATTTCATGGCCTTTTTGAACGAGAAATCGGGCGTGCAATCAGAAATTCCCGCGTGCAAATAAGAATTCCTGGCGTGCAATTATAGCTCACGACGTGCAAAACAACTGCACTCGCGTGCAACTGACTTTGACATCAGATACCTCTCAATACATCCGCGTAAAATTACCGGTATCGGATAAAAAATACGTTGAATCAGAGAAAAAATGGACGTTTGACCTTTGACCCCAAACATTATTTCTACAGTTTGTCGCTAATTTTGAGAGTGTTTGTGCGACTTTGGATACCGGTACTGTTCAGTACATCCGCGTAAAATTATTGGATAAAAAATACGTTGAATCAGAGCAAAATGGACATACTTTGTCATTAATTTTGGTAGTGTTTTTACGTAGAATCAATGGATAAAAAATACGTCAAATTAGAGCAAAATGGACGTTTGACCTTTGACCCCAAACATTATTTTCATACTTTGTCACTAATTTTGGGAGTGTTTGAGCAACTTTAGATACCGGTACTGTTCAGTACATTCGTGTAAAATTATTGTATAAAAAATACGCTGAATCAGAGCCGTACTTGGCCATTGGTGCGGAGGCGATCTTTTCGTCCATAACTATTGGCGCGGCGGTGTGGCTCAACGGGCTAAGCGTTAGGAATACGCTCGCCACCGCACCTCTAATTACTCTGCGTGGGTTCGCAGGTTCGAATCCCATGCGGGGATGGTTATGTGCGAGAGGATTGCTGGACTCCTCGCCGTCGTTGGGTGGTTCACGTAACCGCTGGTCGGTTACGGCTTCCTCCACCACCAAGTCCATGCTTCCGAAATCAAACAATACAGTAAAAAACTAATCCCATACCCGACTAGGAATGGTGACCGGACGAGAGGCCGTGGTTTGCCATATGGATAAGCCGTCTTATCGGCTTTCCTCTCCCCCGGGATAAATATGTAAATCCTATCCTATCCTATTCTCACGGGATTCCTATTTCCTATCATTCAACACGATATGGACCTTTCCCCGAGCATCGACTTCCTTGTTTACTTCGTGACATTGGCCAATCAGCAAGATGCAAAAAAGGACGTAACAATGAGAGGAATTTTTCGCGGGTCAAAGGTTGGGGAAAGGTCCATGGTCTTTTTGCTTCGCAATATTTCGATCAGACCAAATCTTGCAAGCTGGTATTTGTCGACAATTGTGGAGGTATAATATTTTGGCATCTTTATGTTACTGGATTATTGATTTTAAAACCATTTAAACCGATTTACATTGGTGAGCGATTGCAAATTTTCGGCGTGCAAAATTGATTTCGCTCGCGTGCATTTTTGCGGAGCGCTAGCGCCCTCGGGCGTGCACCTGCCATGGAATCCAGTCTGGCCGGAACGTAGTATGTGTACCAGATTAGGGCTAGATCATGAATTTATTCTAATTTTCCTTATTTCAGTTCTATTACAAGTTCGGGGACTAGCCAAGTGACTCCCTTAGTATTTGTATCTGAAATTATTGCCCAACCCTAACCTGGTACACATACTACGTTCCGATGTCCGCCATCTTGGTTCACATACTTCGGGAGTAACAAATATTGAGCCTAAACTAATAGTGACTACTCCTATCTTTGAGCAAAACCCTCGTCATGGTTTAAACACTGTTTAAAATACTCCGATACTTACTTGAATTTTCGGGTTAATGTGTTTTGCATATGAAGATACTCCACTGATCATTCCACCTCCACCGACTTGTACAAATATGGCATCGACGTTTGGTAGATCTTGAAGAATCTCAAATCTGAATTAGAAAACAAGAAAGCTATGCTCAAATATATGGGCACGCTGCGCCACATAGTGGCAAATTTTGATGACGCCCAGCACACAAAAAATGAATGCCATGCAGCTCACCGGAATATTTAAAAAAAATAAAAGTAAAAAGCTTCTAGGGAAAAATTTAATCTTTAATCACTGAAAATTTCAAAGCAATGGGTCCAGTAATCGAAGAGAATTTTTTTTTCATAACGATACAAAGGAGAATACAAATAAAAACAAGAAGAAGAAAAGTGCCAGCATAAAATGCAAAATGATCGTTATGTCCACTAACGTGTCCAATAAAAAGTTGTTACCGCTTACGTAACCATAACTCGTAATAGGTCAGGAGTAAGTTTACATACAAATCATTAACAAACGGTTATTTATTTTATTTTTTATGCAAAGTCAAGTAAAGTTTTATTTTTTCCAACTAGTAAATAAAATAACAATAGAACACAGAAAATACGAAAAAATGAAAATTACACAGTTTTACTGGGGAATGGAAGTCGCTGGTTATCGAGCAGCGACACCCAATGTTCAAATATTTAATTAAAAAAATGAAATTTAGAGTTAGGAAATTACTGTTTTTGAGGCGCTCACGAAGTATGTGCCTCAAGATGGCGCACAACCAACTACTATGTTCGGCTGTGCGCCATATTGGTGCACATACTTCTGGAGGTCCGTTTTTGACGGTGAGCACCGTAAGAATCATTAATCTAACATTGCTTAATAGAGATAGTTAATTTCTCGACATAGCATTAAAAGAGTCGGGAAACCAACTGCTGGACGGGAAATTTCCTAATTCAGTTAAATTAATTGTGCCAATGGCTGTTCCGTATTAATGCCTTCTTTTGCGATTTTTTGGGAGATTTTTTTCGACAATGGTTCTGATTGAAACCACGTATGAAACTTATAACTATATGCATGGTCATCTCAGTATAGGGCTGCCTTATAGTTATAAAAAAGGATATCCGCCCCAACTGCCATATGGATAGTTCGTAGGGCGTAGATAGTGCGCTGATCTGAGCTTTGTTTGTAGTTTTATTAAATATATAGAAAGTATGTCAATGACGGGTGATTAGAACTAGGCGATGCAATGTTTCATTGGTCCAATTTTTTGCCTAATATATAATATAGTAATAAATGCAACGAGAAAGATATAATCGCTGCAGGAATTACCAGGCTCCTTATGACAATAGTGCTAAAATGACAACACTATAAAACTTTAAATTTTTGAAAATTTTAAATTAACATAAAAATTCACGTAAAACATAAAGTTTTTGGCATGTAGGCTATCTTTTATTTCTGGACTCCCCTCCAGGGCTAAGCAATGTCGCGCATACTCGTACAGCACAAAACTATTTAACGAATTACTCACGCGACTGTGCCTTGACCAGCAATCACATCTTGGTCTCCACACGGAGAAACAAAGATGCCGCCTTCCCCCTAGAATAGAAGAATATTCTATTTAGTCGTAATTTTTGTGTGACATGCACGTGTCACCGGGCCCGTGGTTCATCAAATGAATCAAGTTTTATTCGGTTTTCGTTACCGCGGGATAAATATAGGAATACCAAGATCTTGCTGATTCATAGTGCAAACGTATGAATCAAAAATTCTACCCTTTCCAACTTGGCGGCCTCTTTTGCCAAAGTCATTGTTACCGCCATATCGTCTCCTTCCTTATGGACCTCAGCACCATGCACTAGTAGTCGATCAATTCTGTCTTGAGGTGTGGTTGTTGGGACATAAACTGCACATTCTTCCGAACGAGATTTCAGAGCGTACATCTGTTGAATAGAAGGTTTAGATAGAAATATCATATTTACGGTAAATATACTCTTGCATACTTCAAACTAACCAGTGGTATTATCCCGGGCAACGTCAATTGCATCAAGTAATTAAAAACAATAGGATAGGATTTACATATTTATCCCAGGGGAATAAGAATGCCGATAAGACGGCTCAACCATATGGCGAACCATGGCCTCTCGTCCAGTTACCATTCCATGTCGGGTATGAAATTAATTAGTTATTTTTAATTTTTTTCGGAAGCATGGACTTGATGGTGGAGGAAGCCGTAAGCCGCCGTATGATCATTCGTGTCCATATACTTATGCATTGCTTCCTTACATTGCGCTGATCAATAACAAAACACTCTCGGATGAATACATTATTACAATTTAACTCAATAGCTAGTGAAACGCCGCTAAACCAGGACTTTTAGACAGTTTGAATAATTTATAATAGGTTCATAAATAGGCAGGCTTGTCCATGGGAATGCGGTTCCCATGAGAAACGTCCTATGGAATGGGATGGGACAGCACACATTTGTATTTCCCATGGGACACGAAAACCGTATGAATTTCGGGGAAATTTTGGTAAAACATTTCGTTATAAACGTCATGTCTATATATTTGAACCTTTCTGTCTTGTTAGTTATAAAGAACAAAATATATTCAGCATTAACCATATACTTCGTGAAGAGGCACATGTATAATAGTTATGAATATATAATTAACAATATGTCTTATATGTTTTATATGTCTCTTCGTACATGTATTCCTATTTAGTAAACGCTAAACCTAAATTTAACAATTTTATTAAATTACGGTATATTCCAATGGGAATCCCATGGGATGGGAAGGGACAGGTATAATTGCTATGAGATGGGAATGGGACAGAAAAATATGTCCCATGGACAAGCCTGTAAATAGGCATTATAATAATACAAAATTATAAAAAGGGAATTTCTCTACAAAATAATTAATTACTTTTTCTGCATACATTGTTGCAGATTGGCCTCACCATTGCCATTCCATGATTACCAGAGGAGGCAGCAAAGAATTTTTTCTCTCCTTGTTTTTCGCTCTCTTCTGACACCTTGAGAACTTTATTAAACGCTCCTCTTGCCTTCATAGTTCCGCTGATTTGCTCTGATTCTGGAAATCAAGAATAAATATGGCAAAATGCGCAAGATTTTAGAGGCAG